CCCGAAATGTAGCAGGAAGCATATGTATCAACAGGGGTTTTGTTGGAGAGAGTAGAGTAATTTCTGGGCATCGATAGCTCTTTTCGCCCTGTATCCTACTGATGCGTAATGATTATCAGAAGAGGAATGAAAATATCTTATAAAGGCCGTTTGATTTGCCACTGATGCTTCTTAGTTTCGAATTAGCAATACCTACATTTTGCTATATTACATTGACTGAGGATAAATAGCCCCTGAATGCAGATCCTATGAGAGAGCATAGCCACATATATTATCTTGGATCACATAGCCTATGTTCCTTTACTCAAATCAGGATAGATACGAAGACAGTCTAGAATACGATCTAACCGTATGCCGTTGCATGTACTCCCAGTCGGCAAGCGTCTGGTCTTTAATAATGATCACTAAGGATTAGTAGCAACGCCGCTTCCGAGGTTAACAATGGATCCCCCCCCAGATTGTTTTTTACAAAATCCAGCATGATTTGAGTTGTTGTACATGGTGCTAGTTGAATACGGGGCGGAAGTAAGCCGTCCGGATTGGTGAACCCTCCTTAGTAAGGCTATCCGAACGCCATCGGCTATTTAGAACAATACTAGCTGGCATCAACTTCTGAACCCCAGCAAATAGACCAGGTTTGCCGTGCACACGATCCGATGAGCGGTCCGAGACAGCTCAGTCCGTGGCGGATAGATCTCCGTTGTCTTGTGTTTATATAAGTTTAGTCAGCGGGATGGAGGTTACATTTGCATGCTCTGCCCCCCTCAGATGTTGCGGACTTGACTAGGACTCGGGGCGAGTAAAACACCGAGGTGCGACTTTTGATGCTGGCGGCATGTCGGGACGGCATTTTTTGTGGTGTTTTGAAGGGGGACGAGGTGTTGTTAGCTTGGCGGAGATGGCTGGGTTTGGTGGCGCAAGGGATACCTGGAGCTGAGATAGTTTGTCTGGAGCTGAGAGAGGTAGTATGTGTACGGCTTTTTAGGGGCTTTGAAGGAAAGTATATAAAAAGAAGAGATGGTGTCGGAGGTGAGAAGATTACTGAACCATCAGCGACTTCAACTGCTAGCTTTGAGGAGATATACAACGAAGAAATCGACGTTTCTGGGTTATCGATCTCGGCGGGTGTTCAGCTTGAATTACACTGCCCCATAGTCTTTCCGGTCCAGTTATCGTCACAATGGGTTCTCACAACATGCAAGGTCACTCTGTTGATCTATCCAAGTATGATAAGCTCAATGCCGCCCAAGCTGGACACTTGCGTCACTTCCATAATCTCGCCAGCCAAATGGATGGCGAATGGCATCACATGGGAACTCAGGAGCCGATGCAAGAATTCCTCGATGCCTACCGCTACCAGCTCGCCACCATGGCATACGGCACCGGAGCAGCGCATTATCACCGTCTACCGGCCCTGAGAAGCCCACTCAAGTCCCTCATGCGTCGTCTGATCCACAAGATGCTGCGGAGAGAGGTATGGGCTTACTGGTTCAACACGAGTCTCTCCGGAAACCGAACTGACCCTGATCGAACGGAGTTGAGGAAGCCTTGGGCGGATCCAGTCGTCAGAGAGAATATCATGTACAGCGGCCATCTCTTGCTGATGACGAGTCTATACGCTATGCTCTTTGACGATGATGAGTTTGAGAAGCCGGAATCTTTGACGTTTGTTTGGGATCCTCTATTCTTTGGTTTCGGGTCTGAGTCTTTTCATTATGATAACCGGAGCTTGCAAGATGCTATTATTCGCGAGATGGAGAGGAATGGTTGGGTGGGTGTTTGCTGTGAACCCAATCTGGTGTTTGTCGTCTGCAATCAATTTCCCGTAAGTCTCTTCGCCAGAGTGACTTATATGAGGTTCAATGAGAGCTAACCAATTCTTTTCTACAATAGTTGATTGCGATGAAATACAACGACGCTAGAGATGGGACCGACGTGTCTGGCGAGGTTTTGGACAAATACAAGGCGGCTTGGGATAAGAAAGGCATGGTCTCTCCCAGCGGGCTATACGTCGACTGGTACTTTGTTCGACAAGACATGACGTTGCCACCGAAATCCGTTGGATGGACTGCATGGTGAGTTGGACAAGCTGATGCAAAGAAGGTTCTTTACTGATATTTACACAGGGCAAATGCCTATATGAATACGTGGAACTCTGATACCGTGAAGTCGTTGTACGATCAACAAGTATACGGCTTCATCACGAACATCGACGGCGAGGTCCAACTCCACGAGGATCGCATTGCCGAAGAATACCGAAAGCTCGTGGAAACTGAAAATGCGGACAAAAACGACGCTGCCGTTCTTGCTCGAGCTCGAGAAAGTGTCGCTGCCCTCCCGCCGTCGCCATTCCCCTTCTCCAGGCCGACCTTTGGTTACGTTGTCCAATGGCTGTCGGAGCTAGGCAAGAAGGAAGAGTTGGATGGCCTACTCAAGTACGCCGACGAGCATCTACAGCCAACGTGGGAGAATGGCGGACTGTTCTATCCTAGGAACGACACCAAGACGAATGAAGCTGGAGAATGGACGCACATGGATCCATTTTCGGGAAATGCGTCGATTGGATATGCGCGACTGAATGTGCCGGATGGACAGAAGCAGATGTGGGAGAAGTCTCGACGGCGGGGTCATGCGGCAACGCAGCCGTGGATTGACGGCATTGATCTCGGCCAGGGTATTGATTGTCTTCGTGGAGTTTGGGATCGTGAAGAGAGTGCTTTGGTGTTGACTATGAAGACGTGGGATAGCCGAAGGGTTGATGCAGCTCCGGTGGCAAGCAACTTGCCTGCGGGAACTTGGGCTGTTTTTGTCAATGAGAAGCTGGTGCAGCAGGATGATGTGAAGGAGGGCGGAGATTTGAGTGTCGAGGTGGAAGTTGGTGGTGAAGAGGTGAATGTTGTGTTTAAGAGAGTTGAATAAGCCAGCGATCTTGTGTGTTTAAGAGGATTCATCTATAGCTTTAGAAGGGAGTATGTTATGCTATTGTCATAATCTCACTATTTTTTTTCTATGAACCTAATAATATGTTGCTATCGTTATTATATTTGAGAAATATAATAATCTAGAACTACTAAGTACCGGCATCTATGCTGCTGATGTGATAGTCGAAGTCCTTATTACTATATGGAGGCTTAATGCATGCATCTTAGTAGGGTGTCATCGTAGCTCTCCCGCGTACGTCATTCAGACTCACTCACCTAGAGCTTACCTTGTAAGTCGCCATTAGCTCTCATAGCTTCCAATAGCTTCTCGGAAACAAGCTACGACAGAACAGCATCGATCATCCCAGATGAAGAGAGAAAAGAATAAAAAATAAGTTTGGCCATCAATGCATCCAAAACATCGCTAAAGCATCAAACATGTCAAATACGAAGATCCCAACTCTCGGTCACGTGGAGCTGAAGCCTGTCAATTGATAGCTCATAAGCCGTCGCAAGGCGCTTGAGCTACCCGGTCATTTGGCTTTGTTTACATCACCGCCCTTGTGCAACTGAGAGCAGATTCAAGCATTGAACATCAACAAGATGCATTGGGCCTCAGCTTCCGCAGTCGTGTTTCCGGCGCTATTGGCGCTCTGTGCGGGCCAACAACAGCAACCGCTTTCCGAGGTCGGTCACTCAGATTCATCGGCAACTTCGCAGCATACCGGCGCGGTAGACGCTCCGTCTTACCGGGATAAACTGCTCCAGCTGCTTGAGTCGTTGGTTTCCATCCCATCGGTCAGTGGTAAAGAAAATGAGGTTGGCCAATTCCTCGTCGATTATCTGGAGCAAGAACAATACCATGTGGCCATCCAATTCATCGCTCCGCCCAAGGACAATCCAGATGTGCCCGACAGATTCAACGTCTTGGCCTGGCGCGGAGAAAGAAAGCCCAACTACAAGGCATTGGTGACGAGCCACATTGACACGGTTCCTCCTCATATTCCCTGGGATATTGAGGGCGGCGAAATCGGAAAGCACACAATCATCAAGGGCCGCGGCACAACGGACGCCAAAGGCAGTGTTGCCACTCAGATCTTGGCGGTGAACGAATTGCTCTCCACAAACAAGAATGTCAACCCTGAGGATATCATCCTGCTCTTTGTTGTTGGGGAGGAAACAACTGGCGACGGGATGAAGACCTTTAGCGCTTCTCTCGAGCATATGAACCCGCCTCTAAGCTTCGACTCTGCCATCTTTGGCGAGCCTACCGAGAACAAGCTGGCGTGTGGCCACAAGGGCGCTCTCTTCTGCACTGTCGTGGCCAAGGGGAAGGATGCTCACAGCGGCTATCCAGAAATGGGAAAGTCGGCCAACGAGCTGATGATTCGAGCCATGAACAAGATATACGACACCGATCTCGGTTACAGCCCTCTCTTTGGCAACACGACGTTCAATGCTGGCCGATTTGATGGCGGTGTTGCTTCCAACGTGATTCCTGCTAGGGCTTTTGTCGACTTGGCAGCCCGCGTTGCCAGTGGCTCTGAGAAAGAGGGCCACAAGGAAGTGCAGAAGAAGATTTTGGATATTTTGACTGAAGTCGATGATGAGGCCTTCACTTTTGAATGCACACATGGATATGGACCTTATGAAAGCAACTGCGATGTGGAAGGTAAGTCTATGACAGCTATATCTCATTGGATATGATCTGACCTGCAACTCAGGATTTGACCAAATTGTTGTCAATTACGGCACGGACATTCCTAATCTCGATGCTGACTACGTCCGATATTTGTATGGCCCAGGCAGTATTCTCGTTGCTCACGGTGATCACGAGTACATCACTGTTGGCGACTTGGAGCAGGCGGTTGAAGACTACCAGAAGCTGATTCTCCACGCTCTGAACCAATGAGGAGGGTATTAAAGTAATTGATTTGGATATTAGATATGTATGTTAAAAGATAATCTAATGACGCTGTGCACTAACGCTGGTCTTTTTCTTTTTTTTCTAACCCTGTGCCATCCCTTCCAAGGGCATGTGGAATGCCTGCTCTTGTTTCTTCCTCCTTTTGTTCTATATTAACCAACCACCTTTGCCCACCGTTTAGGCAAAATCTTGCTAAAGTCAAAGGTACCATCGGGTCCCTTCTCCACAGCACCCTTCTCCGTCACGACGACATCGATGAACTCTGCAGGAGTGACATCAAAGGCAGGGTTCCACACATCGATCCGCTGGTCAGCCGTTGCAACGCGAACCTTGTTGTTACCATCTACACGACCATCTGGCCCAACAACTGCGCCGGAGATTTGTGTCAGCTCCTCCCTCTTACGCTCTTCAATCTTGATACCATCGCCAGTCTTTGTCTCCAAATCAATGCTCGTGGTTGGAGCAGCAACGATAAACTTGATGCCGTGGTGCTTGGCTAGAACGGACAATTGGTAAGTGCCAATCTTGTTTGCAGTGTCACCGTTGCGAACGACACGATCAGCGCCAACAATGACGGCTGCAATGTTGTTCTCCGCCTTCTTGGTTCTGAAAAGAGCAGCTGCCATGGAATCGGTAATAAGGGTGCTGGGGATGCCCTCGTGGACCAGCTCGAATGCTGTCAATCGGCTGCCTTGGTTGTAAGGTCGAGTTTCGGTGCAGAAGGCGTGCTTGAGGTATCCCTTGGACTGGAGCGTGCGGATAATGCCAAGTGCTGTTCCATGGCCTGAGGTGGCGAGCGCGCCGGTGTTGCAGTGTGTAAGCACGGAAATCTTCTGATCGGGCGAAGCGCCGGCCTGAGCCTGAAGCCATTGTGCGCCAAAGTCTCCGATCGAAAGGTTGCTCTGGAGGTCCTTTTCGAAAATTCTTTCCGCCTCTTCGATGAATGCTTGCACAATCGCCTCTTTGCCCTTTCCATCAGCCGTTCGAATTGTCGCCTTGAGCTGGGTGATGGCGTTGGTCAGATCGACGGCTGTTGGCCTGCTCTGCTTGAGGTAATCCAATGCTTCATCAATCTGAGAAATGACTTGTTCATCTGAAGTGCCCGAAACGGGGTTGTTGTGCAGTTCAACAGCGAGTCCCAAGCTGGCTACGATAGCAATGGCCGGGGCGCCTCGCACTCGCATCGTAGCGATGCTGTCGAACGCCTCTTGGCGAGTTGAGACGGTGTCATAGTGGAATTCGTGGGGCAAGAGGAGCTGGTCAAGGACCTCCAGCTTGCCTCGTTGGTACTTGACAGCTTGTAGGAGCGACATTGTGATATCAAGTTTGATGGTTCGTAAGAGAGAATGAATTGTATTGCACTTTTTTTTTTTCACATGAAAGTCTCGGTGCAGATGCGTCATGCCCCTCCTTCAGAATTCTGCCACCCCTCCTCCGCCAGTAACGTGCTTTGGAACCGCCACGATGGTACCTGGAATGCGGCTTACATGATTGACTTCGTCTGATAGAATGTCTTTATTTGCATTGAAACAGACAAATATACACAATTCACATTTACTAAAGCAATCTGCACATTCTCAACAATATGATTTCCCATGTAAATAAAGAGAAGAACCAGATATTCACTGTTTATAGAGACTGGAATTGCATCATTTCCCTGCATCACAGCTGTCTCACCGCCCAAAGCCCGGAGTAACGTAAATCCCGGCCTGATGAAGCTCCCCAACTGCTATTGGCAGCATTCAGACCTCCAGTCAGGGGTCACCCTTGTCGGCGATGCACCTCGACTATTGCGGCCAGCTCTTCTGTCGCATCGACATCCCGCACGTCTCAGGCGGTCGACAATGCAACAGACCGAGACGACCTGGTTGCCATGGAACAGCAGACGTCGACGTCAACGGTAACAGGTAAGAGCACCTAAATCACTGCTCTGAGACTTTGAATCCGGCCAACTAATTCAAACGGCATTGCGACCTGCGCAGTCGAGTATTTCGATCCCCACGATGTTTACAAGCTCCTGGCCCCAGGGCTAGTCCCCCGGCTTCCCCTGCACAATCTCAACTGGCAGTCTCACTCCGGGCCGCTACGATCAATCGGCACGCTCCATGTTGAGCTGATTCGGGGGAGTCTCGAAATCCCCGAGCTGACCTTGTCACCGACATCGCGGCGTTCGGGCAGTGTCTCGCGGGCGGGCGACGGATTGCGATCACGCAGCGTGAGCGTCTCTACGGACTCGGGAAAAGCTCCGCCGTCGCTTCGTTCGAAAGCTAGTGGGAATCTGCGGCGACACCAGATCCCGGGACTTCGTCGAACCCCTTATCTCAAGCTGCTGCTGGTACGATGCGATGACAACGACTCATACAAGAACTCGGTGCGAGCCGAGGTTCGCGAGTGGGTCAAGAACCATACCTCTCCTGTGAGCACCTCGAAGAAGGGCACTGGCCAAGAGAATCACGATGCGTTTGAATGGCTCATTGTTCACGTCGTCCTCCCCAACACCGCAGCTTCAACTCAGCCGAGAAGCAGCGGAAACTCGGCCTCAGCGGAGAAGAGTGCGGCCTCGCGATGGCGCCCAGGGACCACCCCTTTATTAGAGAAGCTTCGATCAGACTTCAACGAAACGACAAAGGGATCTCAGGATCATGTTTCGCAGATTAGGATCGGTATCAACGACGTACCGTACGATCTTTTACCTAGGGTTGTACCAGCAGTGCCATCAGGTTACAAAGAGACAGAAACAGATGCCGAAAACGCCTGGAATGATTTAATAGCGAAAATCAAGAGCCTGATACTGGCCTCGTTTGACATGCGAGTAACTCAGTATGAAGAGGATATTCGGGAAAAGGACGCACAGCGAACCCTACCTGGCTGGAACTTTTGCACTTTCTTTATCCTCAAAGAGGGGTTGGCGAGGGGGTTTGAGAGCGTTGGTCTTGTAGAAGATGCGTTAGTTGGCTATGATGAGCTCAGCGTCGGATTGGATACAGTCCTACATGAGCAGCTGGAGTCAGGCTCACCGGAGAGACACGGTGGTGAAATGCTGGCATTTACCGAAGAGCTCAGAGACATTGCCGAGAAAGCGCTGGATATTGCTGCCGGCGATAGCAGTGATGATGGTAGTGACACCAACACGAATGTAGCAGCGGAGATTAGAGGCCCAAATTTCGACGAGATAGCCATCAGCTCGACAACAAAGGCATACCGGGACATGATCTTGGCGAACAAGGTGTCGGTATTCGACTTTAGATGTTACATCTTCTCCCGCCAAATTGCCCTGCTGCTCAGGCTTGGCAACGCGCTTTCTTCCAAGGAAGAGCTCATTGCCATGCTCAAAAACCAGCAGGAGTCTATCCTCTACGGGGAAGCTCCTATGGCATTGCCGCCGCCAAACAACAAGGACGAGCCGGAAAATCTCATCACGTTTGCAGAGATATGTCAGCGGACGCTACAGTTTATCCCTTCTGTTTCGCAGATTTTGAGACGAGACGTCATCTTGGGGCTAACAGCAAGCAAAACACCAAGCCGCAAGCCCCCTAAACTGAGCCTTTTGGCAGAAGAAACGGTTGACAATATGGTGTCCTCATTTGCCTTTTCTGTTGCCCAGCAAATTCTTGCTCAAACCTCAACCAAGGCGCTGCCAATCCCGCCGTCTTCGCTGTCATATGGAGATGGGCTTGAGCCAAAGTCTTCTATCCCTGAGCCCAAAACCATGATCCACCCAGCTCGCAACTCCTCGCTACTTCCAAGATCTGGAGGAATTCCGCCGCCTCCGCTTAGTCCAGGTTTCTTCCCTGGACCCGGCAGACAATTCCCAGCCGGTGATGGGACGAACAGCTTTCTTAAAAACGGCTTAGAGGACTTGGCAGCTCGCCGAGCTGAACTTTACATGCTTTCCAGAAGCATCCTCTCGAGCCTTGGTAAGAAGCGCAGCTGGAGCGACGGCTGGGACGAAGCCCCTTTGGTGAGGGGAATTGGCATGGATGAAATGGAAGACGTGGATTTGAACGATGATAATGACAAAAGCAAGGACTCTGACACTCCTTCCTCGCCGGAAGAGGCATACGCTCCGTTGATGGCGGGTATCGTCAACCCCGTGCTGCGGACTGCAGTCGACAACAAGGAAGACTTCTATCGCCTATTTGAAATTCTTACAGACAAGGCCATGCGCCATTTCACGGTAGCCAACCATGATCATGCGGTTCACTCCAGCATGGCGGATTTGGCCGTGTTGAAAGTTCATTTGAAGGACTACAAGGCTGCTTCATCATACTTTTCACTCACCACTCCCTTTTTCGGAGAGAGCGGCTGGAGCTTACTCGAGCTATCAATGCTCATTATGTATTGCCAATGTTTGGATGAGATGAATCCAAAGGGCGAACATGTTGGTGTTGCGTTAAAATTGTTGACCATGTACTGTGCCGCGGAAAAGGAGCGTCTGCAAAAGAAACCGGGGTTTAGGAGTTTCTCACAAGGCAAGACGTATCCGGATGCATGGCCAGTAACTGGCATAGTTGAAAAGCTTACACGGCTGGCCAAATCATTGTCAAAAGAGGTAAAGATACCCATGGAAAACTTCTTTACAGATGTGGAACTGGATGGGTTTCCAGAGTACGAAGACAACCAAGACGGCTGTTCTCTGAATATAAGCATCAGGAGCCTGCTGCCAGAGGATATCTCGTTCGATGCCGCAAAAGTGCGAATCACATCTGTCGGTGAGGGACCAAGCAGAGAGCGATTGTTTGAGGCAGCAACCGGTTCACCTATCACCTTGGCGCCTGGTAAGAATAAGATACGAGTGAACTGCAAAGTAAGTAATGCATTCAAATCACTTATAACCTGTGTTTTGGAAAAAGACTAACAAGATACCCCTATAGTCTGTGGCTTCGGGACATTATAAAATAGATCGACTTGTTCTTTCAGCAGAAAATCTCGTTTTACACTTTGAGCGGGATATCAACGCTTTCACATCCAGCACAACCGACATATTCAAACATGCCGATGTTATGCTTTTCCAGCGTACTAGCACATTCGATGTTGTCATGTCTGCTACAAAGCAGACATCCTTGGACAAGAATAACTCTCTTGACCTAGTAATACACACCGGGTGGAATTCCATCAAGAAATGTGAGGTACGAGTGAAACCAGCTACTGGAGGCCTGCGTTTCCTCACTACGGAGGCAGCATTTGTGGGATCTTCAATGGAGTTTGCGAAGCCTCCCGAAGCTGGCGTGTTTCATTTTGACGCCGTCGCCGCCGACACGACAGTTACGATACGATTCCCATACTCTGTAGAGCAGGACGTGGGAGATATCTTTGCCAAGATTGAGGCTACATACGTTACGGAATCTGACGAGACATATCACCTGGCCAAATCTCTAGCAGTTCATGTGGCTTTGGCACTCGGCGTGAATGTGCAAGACGTCTTCAAGCACCAAGCACTCTTTTCTCGGTTCAACGTGTCGACAGCATCATCTAGCCCGCTACGGCTCTATAAGAGCGAGCTCCTAAGCTCGGATCTCTTTGATTCTGTATTTGGCGTGCCTCCGGGAAATCCCGTCTTCATATTTCCAAAGCAGCCAGCGAGCTTGCTGTTCAAGGTGAAGAGGATACCGGGAGTAAAGCCGATGCCAAAGGGGGGCAGGACCTTGTATCTGAAGCTTGACTACACCTTACTGGAAGTTGAGATGGAAGAACTGGTTAAGCGGTCTCTAATAGAAGCCCTGGAGACGACACCCCTGAAGCAATATTCCAAGTATGTTGTGGCAACAGTTTGGCAAGAGTTAAAGGCCATATTACAGCCGCGAGACCTTGAGCAAGCCACCCTGCTGGGAGAGCTGGCAATCACTAATTTGAAGGATATTGCATGGGAGAAGCACTTTGGAGGAATTGGAGGAGCACCTGGAGTCGGCGAGAATGCGGCCGAAGGGTTGTCGGCGTTTGTTCGAACTTGGCAAAAAGCCAACAGCCGTCTCGCCATACCAAGAGACGGCGTCATCGACCCGTCGTCGATTCTCATCCCGGTGGAAATACCCGCGCTACCAGTCCTCCACACGGCAGACATCCGCCTGCAGAGCCTCATCCCAAGTCCCGTGGTGGGCAGCGCAGGCGGGGGGCTCCCAACCGTCTGCACGAACCAGATGCTCCCGGCGACGCTGCACCTCAAGTGGACGCGGATCTGGGACACGGACTCTTCTGTTCGCAGCGATCAAGAGTTTAGCTATGAGGTCACGGCACCTGCAGATACGTGGCTCCTGGGTGGGCGTCGAAAGGGTCATTTTGTCATCCCGGGGCCGTCGGCTTCGTCGCTGGCGCAGACCATGACGTCGACGCCAGAGACCGAGGCTGAGATCCCGCTCATCCTGATTCCCCTGCGGGAAGGCTGGCTGCCGTATCCGCTGGTCGAGATCAGAGAGGTCGTCAATGCGGATGGGTTGGATGGTGGTGGTCAGGCCACGGCGCAGGGGTGCGAGGTTGACTTGAGGAATCTGGGGGAGACGGTGCGCGTCGTGGGAGACAGGAGCGGTATGACGGTGAGCCTTGATGCGAGCGGCCCAGGGGGAGGCCCATTGGTGTTTGAGAGCGAGCGGTTGGCCGGGTTCAAGGGCAAAATCATCGAGTGATGGCATCATTGGGGGGTGTTTGGTGATCTCACATGGGGGGAGGAGGATTGGCATGGTATTTTTTGGCCACTGGATGGGCACGACTTACGTATGTAACGCATATCATAGAAACACTGTACTGTACGGACGGTAATTTTTTCACGTTTCCGTGCCATTCCTTTTTGTTTACCTTGCGATTTTTGTCCTTGCCTATCGCTATCCCAACGGGACCCAGTCCGGTATTCGTTTCCGTTAATGATCTTCACAGCAAGGTTCTTCACTACCGCAACTCGAAACCTTACGACGAACAGGGGTGCTTGCAGCGAAAAAGTTTCCAATTACTAGCAGATGGAGAAAAAAGCTAAAGCAAATGGAAATCAAGCTTGTGCCAAGTTACGGGAAAAAAGCACGCCTGGGATTTGCTTCCTTTTTTCCCATTCTTACCTGGGAAGTCCCGAAACGCTCACCATGGACGATCGGCGCTCCCTGTGTTTTATTACAGAACTACGCCATAACGCCATACGCCCCCCTTTTTCTACCGCATCAGTGCATGAAGGAGGATGCAGGAAGGGCCAGGGCTGGGACTGTTGAAAGGCAAAAGGGGATGTGTGGGGAAAAATCATCCGACTGATATTCATGAGGAGAACATGTAGAATGTTCTTGAGCCCGGGTATTATTTCTTGAGTCGGGTATTATTATCTCCGTTCTACGAGTACACTTTATTCTGTCGTCTGAGTTCCCAGTTTTGATAAGGCACCTCCCCTCCTCACCCCCTTGAGCTTGCATATGTAGGGAGTTGTTATTACTGCATGACAACCTCGGGGACATTGCAGTAGCATAGGGATCTTTTTCGTTTTTGTCTTCTGCTTCGGCTTTGCTCTCTTTTCCGGCTGCTGTAGAAGGTTACCCCTTGGGCCTAACCCAGCGATATGCTGCATATGCGTGGCGTGCGTGCGTCATGTGGGCGAAAGGATATGCATTCCCACCCCCCCAAAAGAACGATTGGCTCGTGTAATACTGTAGATGGTTACAGGAAGTGGTAATCCATGGATGGTAAATGGCGATTCTCGGTGGGGGAGGGGAGACCTTGTAAATGGCGATAGGATGGACGCGGACCACACACGAACAACATCCAACCAACTAAACTTTCAAGGGTTCCTTTCTTTTCTATCTACAGTACGTTCACAGTACAGTACAAGGCTAGGCAAGGCAAGGTATAGAACAGGAATATACCCGGGCTGGAGCCTTTTGGTTGCTCACTTTTTCGCCTCAGGGACAGATCATTGCTGGAAGCGGCAGTGATCAGTGTATGGCGCAGGCCCCCGAGTTCCGGCGCAGGTGCAATGGCTTGCGTCAAGATCATCGGCTGAGAACCCACATGAGCTCAGAGGCAGCTTTTCCAAGAGGCCCCTAAAAGCCCCGAGCTTACAGTACAAGTTCCCCCAAGTCAAAGGCGCTGTAAATCAACATTTGAAGATCTTGCCGTCTCAAAGTACACAGTATATGGAACCGTTGCAGAATCAACGGGCTTCCGTACTCCGTGCCAAACACTGTGCATTACGTCGTTTGTAGCAGGGATTCTACAGTAGCCAGCCCTTACTTCCAACCTCAGACATGCAGGTTGGTTGATTGGTTCTTTTTCTTTTGCTGTTGGTATTTTTTTCATTATTAGCCGTGCAGGACGAGTGCAGCATCGGGACACACGCGAGAAGAGACTTTCAGCGAAAAAGGAAAAGAGGGAAAAAAAAGTGACTGGAGCTAGAAATCCGCTGTGCGGGGCATTTCTTCTGGCTTTCTTTTCTTAGGTAGTTTGCATGAAGAAATTCAGTATCTTGCAGTGAGACACATGCAATGCAACGCGGATTGGATACCAGCAACCCTTAGACGTACAAGAAAATGCAACACACCAATGAATCCCTCTGTGTAGAATAACTGAATAAATGGAAGGCCTATGATATCACAATCCCACAGCCTTACATGAAACGAACAACACCAGAAAAAAGGAAAATATCCAAACTACCTACAGTATATCGTAACTAACATGCATATGTCCTGCTATAAACACCCCCCTGGTCCCAACTCGTACATACTCACACACACACATACAGCACAGACAGTACAGTAGAGCCCCAAATCGTGCAGCAAAAAAAAAAAAAAGGGCTCACACTTCATGTACTTGCCTTACTCCTTGCAGCTCTCTCCCGGCCCCGCGTGGCGTTTTCGCCTCTTTTTATTTTATTTTTATACCTTGCTCGTTCCCTTGCTTTAATTGCCGAACACACCCAAAAACAAGTATAAAAAAAGAACAGACGTCATAAGTCTTCTGCGCCTCTGCCGCTCGTCATATGAGTACAGTAACAGAACATGCTTCTTTTCTTTTCTTTTTGTTCCGAGATCGTCATGGGGGAAATTGAAAACGGGATTTGAAAAAGCAACGTCATTTAATACTGTGTTTGTCTGTCCAACGAACTACGGAATTAATCATTCACCACTGCTATTCCATATTAATAAAAAATGATGGCAAGTAAAATAGAACACATCGTGTAAAAACATGTTAAACGCCTAAATCAACTCCCACGCTCCCGGAACCAGATCCGTAGTTCAATGCCTCTACACTCGCCTATTAGTCATAACATCAAAAGTCAGGCCATATGATCCTGGTATACCTATATACAGTAGCCAAATCGAATCAAATCGAATTCAGTCCCCCTCATCAGCCCTGCCCATGCCGGCAGTCTAGTTTCTGGTGCTGCCTCATTAATCATTATGCGCCCTTGTTGCTAGCCTCACTGCCAAAGAAAACTGACAGGTCACGCAAACAGCCGGTGGAACCGTTACGAACCCTGGCAAAAAAGGCTCCCCCTACTTGTCAAGCTTGTATGTCCAATGCCGAGCCTCCAACGCCAATTGCGAAACCACACAGGACCCAAAACGCCCCCTGCTGGCCCCCTTTGCATTTTGGCCTCCTCGGTGGCAACAATGACATCAGTTTCCCCAAGCTTGCTCGTGTTATGGCATCACCCGTGTCTATTGTGTATTCCATATGTATTGTGTATTGTACAGTCACTCGCTCACTCGCTCAATCACCCCCGAAATCTTACAGTAGATGCGCCAAGCATAGGTTGTAATGTGAATAAGTCCCTGTTCTTCTTGACTGTCGACAAAATGGTCGCGTAAAAGCCTAAAGCCCTATTCCTTTGTACAACTGTTCCGCATTTGTTTTCATTTTTGGTTTTTGTTTTGCCTCCCCTCCCTGTGCCATGATCCTGCTATACCCGTCCGTCTACGCTGCTTCATGCAAAATAAAATCCAAGACCCCTGAGCAGAACTTGCCCCATTGAACGCCTGATAGATATGCTCACTATGATCCCCGATCCAGGTACGGTGAGCGCCTGTAAATTGTAGAAAAAAAAAGAACTGCCAAAAAAAAGAGAAGCCGAGAATTGTAAGAAAACAAAACAATGAAAGAATTCGCAAACAAGACGCCCCATGCAATGACAATGCTGCCACAAAGGTGTTGGCGCTCATAAACGTTGCTCGGAATCCCAAGCGTTGAAGGATAATGTACAGTGAATGTCGCACTTGCACGAACGTCATGCGCTCGTAAACAAGGATAGAGAAAAGAAAAAGAGAACAAACAAATATTGCATGTGGATCGTGGCGGAAAGTGCAAAATGTGTTCCAAAGTCTGGGTATCATGAATCCCCCTTCCCTTCTCCACAAGGGGGACCCGGAGCGGCGCCGATAAAAGTCCAATACTCCTTTTTAAAAAGAAAAGAAAAATGACCGAAGCGCCATCGTTTTCGTGGCGCGATAAATTGAACCGGCCCGCGTGTTGTAGCATAGAGGGTCGAAATCTAGATTGGTCGATATAAGAGGACACTGCTGGCATTGATTATGCATCCCAAGCAGCGATTAATCCAAGCTCATCATGGGTCAACTGGACCCGCATGGAAAATGGTGGTCTGTTGAAAAAAAATAATGAAGGAAAAAGAGGAGACGAGTGTGTGTTCGTCCCTCAATCGAGGCCGGTTTATTTCTTGCCTCGGCTCCCCGTCGCTGTGATCTTGCTGGTGCTCATCAAGTCACCAATGTATTTCTGAAGAAACTTGTTGTTGTTGTCGAGCTTGTCGTGCTCCTCCCGCACAGCCTCGATGCGGTTGAAGATGGTGAGGAGAGACTCCTGCAAAGCCTTGGCATGCCTAAGTGTCGATGGTTAGCGGTCGTACTCTAGAGGTGAAGCTATCCAACAAGTCATGCACTCACCTTCTCAACTCCTCGCGCGCCTCCTTGCCTAGGTTTTCTAGGTCTTCGTTTGTCCTTCGAGGGCTCATGGCTCGAACATCGTCTGGTCCAAACTGCGAGTCTACGGGGCCGACGGCAGAGCTGTCGCGAGGGACAACCAAGGGGCCACTGCTTTTTCGACTCGGCAGGCGGGGGCGGGTGGGAATGGGCTGGTGAATAATAGGCTCATTCTGATCAGACGGAGTTGTGGAAGCGGAGGAGTCGGAGCGCTCGATGGGGTGAATGTGGCTGGCAGAGCCAATGGAGTGAGTATCGTGGTCGTCGGACATGGTGTTTGATTTGGAGCGGATTATTAAGGATGCTTTGACGTGTGTCGCCAATGAGGAATTAGTTGAACGAGTCGGGCGGCAACTGGTCAAGTCTGTCTGCTTGCTGCCGTCGACAGTGGTAGGTGAAGAAAGACGAGTGTCTCGTGCGATGTGGAAGTGGATGTTGTGCGTCGTCTGGTTTAGTCTAGTGTGCCTTGTAGTCTGTTGTCGGCAGTCTGTCGTCTAAATTTCTGTAGCTGCTCGGGAATGAGTCTTTTTTTCCCTTCCTTGGGTCAACTTTGCAATGCCCAACACGCAATGCAAACACGGAACAAGAACGTGGCCAAGATGAACAGCAGCAGCCGCTACTCCTTTTGCAAGCGAGAGAAGAAAAGCGAATGCAGGTGGTGAAAGAAAGAAGGCAGAGTACAACGATAGAGAAACAAAGCGGGTGGAACAAGTTGGAAGAGAAAAACAAAGTAACAATCCGGTTAGGCGGCAACCACGCTTTGGTAGAGAGGGTTTTAAAAAGAAGAGAAGAGGGTAGAGTGGTTTGTGTCGAGACGATCTGGGGCGGAGGTGATTTGTGTGCGAACTGCTCGTGACAAGTCGAATGGGCCCTCGTTTGCTCGGCGGCTCAGTCAGCGTGGAGATGCGTCGATGCGCTGGCGAGATTGTGTGAAAAAAAAATGTGAAAAGTGAAATGCGAAAGCGTTGTATTGGCGGAGAGGAGAAGCTGGCGGTGGAGAGAGACGGTGGATAAGGTATGTATGTATGTATGCGTGGATGTATGAGGATAAGAATCAAGGCGAGGCAGAGTCGACGGCGAGAAAAATCGGGTTGGTGGGCGCAGAGGGCGAATGAATCAGGACAGCCGCGGCCCTTTTAGCGGTCAGCCCCCCGAAGACAAGGTGATGATGATCTGCTATAGCGTCGGGCGGTGGTACCAGTAGCGCTCAAGTACAGTATAATCGGCCGTGGGTGTCTGTTTAGGTAGGCCTGGGCGTCTGATGCTGCGTGTCAGGCAGATCTCCTGGTCCTGGGATGACAACTAAAAACAGTAGTCTGGTTTAGCTGGTTGACGATCTTGTCAAAGTGTCGTTTCCAGCTCGCGAATCGAGGGAGCAAAGAGGGCGGCGAGGCTAGAAGCAGAAGCAGAAGCACAAGTCCGAGTTGGCGCTAGCTAAACCAAAGGGGCTTTTTCTTTTTCGAGGGTCCTCTTGTACTGTGATCTTCTTCTTGTTCGTTTGTTACTTTTTCCAATAAGGTTCCCTTTCTTGTTTTGCTTCCTTGGTTTGGCCCTTTGTGTGTGTGGGAGGGGGTATGGCAAAGGGAAAGGGAAATCTCGACGTTGATTGGGATGCCCGCGCTCTCGACAGAAAAAGTATTCGATGTGCGGTACGTTGAGTTGTCTTGGGAACACAAAAGGCAGCAGAGAGGAAAAGATTCTCGCCGGCCCGCTCTTTACTGACAGGGACGCTCTTGGGATTGCAACACGCACTGTCTGGCCAGAGGACGACTATATCGGGACGGAGTATATGTAGTAGCAGCAACCAAAAAAGGGGAGTGTGAGTGGTGTCTGTCTGTCAGATAGGACTGACAATCCATCCAGTAGGTTCAAAGAGCACTTCAGGCGGTGAATTGGCCATTGGGAAGGGAAATCGGGGGGTGGAGAGAGACCAGGACCAGGGCGACCAGGGTTGCCAGAAGCAGTTGAGAGGAGTTCAGGTTGGGTCCCAACTTGTGACTCCCATGTCGAGAGGACCCTTTGAGCGAAATGGGTTACGCAAGACGGAGACTGACGGAGACAGACTGGTTGCCAGGCCAGTACTTGATGGAGACACAGGGCCAGGTAGCGGGTACATTGGATGGAACTCGGTGCGCGCATCTGTATCCATCGCAGCATCTTCTGCCTATCTCTACTACTAAGGTTTTCTGATTCTGCAGCACCTCTCTACTCTTTACTCTCGACCATCAGTATAATAGGTACAGTATTGTGTTCCCTCTTAGTCTGTACCCAACGGAGTAAGTCTCCCGTGGATGGCAATTGTTGCCACGGGTACGGAGCACACCAAGCATTTTCCATGCAATGCACGCACTGACATGTACTGACGTATACAGATGGATTCTGGTATGTGCAGATGTGCGTCTGCAGCCTCACTCCGGAGTATCAGTACAGGCAGCACCAGTACCGGATACCTTTTCACAAGTACACCCCCTGCACACTCCGCCCCCTGTTCGGTTGGTCTGTTCGCAATTCCCGCCAAGCACGCCCGTGCGAGAACCTTTCGACAGGTACTGGGTACCGCAACGGCAAAGGACAAGCACCCGCACCGCACACATGGAGCATTGGAAATATGGATATGGATATGGATATGGATGGATGGATGCCTTTTCTGCTTCACATCGTACGCCCCCGGAGCTGCCACCGCGACCTGGATGGGGGCTAGGCAAAACCCTGAGTCCCTACGAGTAATAAAAAACAAATAAAGATAAAATCAGAATCAGCAATAAGGATAAAAACGGACAGCGAGGGGTGGGAGGGAGTGCCAGATCGGTCATGTCCCCTTTCACTCTCGCAGCCGTCTAGCATGGCTATCCTGGTCCCCTGCTGCCGGGTCCTTTTCTTCTGCCCTTTCCCCTCCCCACGATATAGCTGGCGATGGACGATTTCATTTCAGAGGCTCAACGCTGTGCTACTACCTGTATGTAGTGCGTTTTGTTTGCAGAAGCCATTGTTACCGCAGTGCCGTGCATGTACTGTACTGTACAGTACCAGACAAGACAGAGCACACGATATCGACCACTAAGTGCTACCAAGGTATCTAGGTAGTAGTGCTAGAAGGGCCAAGGATCTCCGAGTACAGTAGCGCTGCTTGCTGTAGATATTTCCAAGCGTCAGCCGTGATAGCGCTATGCAACCTGAGACTGGCTGAGTGGGCTATGATTATTCTGCATCCAATGTCAAAGAGGGAAAAGGGAAAAGTAAAGAACACAAAAGAATGAATGAATGAAAAATGAACACCAACGCAAGGGACAGAAAGCGAAGGGGAAAACACATGGCTCGGAAGGCTGCACGTCGGCTGCGAGACCTGGCGATGGGGGGTTATGGATTGATTATGGTATCCATTGAATGGATTACGGGTTCCGCGAGATGGGGACCGGACGGAGCAGCCCGTCCGCCAGTCCCTATCCCGACTGCTCAACTACCTTACTGCTCCAATATTGCTCACTGCTACTTAGGTGCCTATTCACATCTGTGCTTGACCACCCAAGCTGACCATCTAAGCTCTGCCATCTGGCGTCCAGCGAGTTGCCAAACGAAGCCGTCTGTCTGTCTACCTTACCTTAGCTCTGATACTCGGACACACGGCTGTGTTGTGGTACATACTCCGTACAAATGCGAGGTCGGGTGCCATCAGCAACGCTTCTGGCTGAGGCGCCACGCCAGAACCGCGGTGGCGGGGACTCACAATTTGGAAAAAAGAAGATCAATGCCAGTGACGCCATAGCAGAGACCCCTTAAGAGGTGCCAGCAAAGACATCCACATTGTACCCAGTACCAGGCATCGCTGCTGGGGGGCGCCGGCATGGCACGTGTTCCCCCCGGAGCGGCAGACTTTTGCACTGTACAATAGCGCCATATCAGACTTGACCGGTACAGTGCTTCCATAGATGTGACAGCACAGTAGTGCGGATACCCGCCGGGAGCAGCCAGTAGCAGATACACGACTGGCGCTCCATCCCTGGCCCTCCTAAAGCACAACCCATGCCTCCGTCACCATCGCCAAGGTACCGGGGTACTTGGCCGCCCTCCCCACTTTCACTTCCTGTGCAGTCCGATTTTTTTTCTCTTCTTCTCATCCATCCCCTCTCCGGCAGATTAGCTCGCCTGCCCGAGGGCCTTGTCAGAAGACGGTTGGACAGATATGCTGCCATCCATTACGAGCTTCACGAGTGATCAGCGGTGTTTCTGCACCAGGTAAAGCACCAGGTAAAGCACCAGGTATGCACCAATACAAGGGCGGCCTCGGCGGCAGTGCTCACCCCAGACAGACCCTTGGCATCTATGATCCTGTAATGCCAGAGGCTCTGCTCTTCTCTTGTCTCTGCACTGCTCTGCTTAGCTTCATCGATTGATTTCCCATCGTCATGCCCTGACTCATTACTAATCCCGCTGCCCAAGGTCAGGGTCGACAGCATAGTGGGCATCCGCTTCAACTACGCGACTGCTAGCTCCCCGGAGTGCTCCGTAATCTAGCAAATTTTCTCTACCTCCACTCTGCACGACGCGATAAAAGACACCGGTCAACCGCGGCGTCGCAGCCGGTGATGCTGGTCCCCATCCCGCGCGTGAAGAAGGGGGTGGGTGGACTGGCATTGAGGCCTTGAGGGAAACGACATGATGGAGCCGGAGCGTGAGGCGCCTCTTCGCTCCAAAACCCCTGCCCGGAATCGAGTTGGTGCCTCACCCAACGCTCTCGGAAACGAGCTTTGCCCGGACAGGCAATCTCCCAGAAAATGAGCTTGACGTCGGCCCCGCCTGATGTCATGGATCGGCTGCCTTCGTCCAACAGAGATGCTGAAAGCCACCGCTCCACCACTCCCGCCCCAACCGCTTCATGGAGCGCCAGAGCCTGCGTGACTCGCAAACCCCTCGCGGCCACGGAGCTTTCTCCTAAGGTACACAGTGCGTGGTCCGCCCTCTGCACTTGTTTGCGGCGTCACAAGTCCTTCTCAGCCACGAGCTGCATCCGAGATCGTGAGCTGCCTTCCCTTATTGATGCCAAAGATTTAGCTGTTCGCCCCGTCTCTATCGTGTCCGCCTCACCTCCAGGGCTAACGTGACTGATGGCAAACAAGGTTCGCCTCGGCACTCATCATGAGTCCCATTTGCAGTTCGTCAGGGTTCACGAGTGATACCGTCTAAGCTGGATGCCTCATGCCAGCTATGGGGGTGCACATCAGATGCCCTGGCCCCGAGACACCTTCCCAAACCATAGCTCAGACTTCTTACGGGGGTGTTTTTTTTTTCTTCTTTTCTTTAATTCTTTTTCTTTTTTACCCTTCTCTCTTTTCTTTTTTAAGAAACGATGGGGGCATAAAATCCGCAGCTGTTTGATGCCTGACGCTGCGCTTGATTATGCCTCACTCATCACCGGCTGCCTGCTTGCCTAGCCGCCAAGCATACAGACAGTAAACTGCTGTTACCATTCTCTCCACCGCGGCACCGCCGTCATGATGATTGCTATGGATCATTTACTTCGTCTGCCTGTTCGTCCGTGATGCTCAGTTTCGCTTTCCGTTGCCAGCCCTGTCGCCGGTATCTCTCTTTCGTACTAGCCGAGGGCTCTCTCCTGAGCCATGCCGCCATCATGGTTCAGTCCTACCTTTAATCACGGCTCGCCAAACAGCCCTCAACGGATCGACAAACTCTGGGTGAACCGCTATGTATACCTTTTGTGTCCAATCAGATAATGCTCGTACAACCAACAACGCTGGTTTTCCCCTCATAATTTTCGCTGATCGGCCACCTCCACACACCTCTTTTCACAGTCTCTTAGACGACAAGCTGCGCGCCGTGGTGGTTCGGCTTCCCATTGATCCTCACCGAAAGCACAGCCCTAGTTGTCATTCCGCCTATCAAACCCTAGACTTCCCCATCGTCATACAAACATCTAGAGGAGCGTGCAAGCACAGCATCCTTTTGGCGGTCCTCGTGACAATGGCCAGTCTAAGCGGTGGAACCACACAAGAAAAGCATTGTTTCAGTGACTCTTTGGCGGCGGCTCTGCCGACGTCTCGCTTTGCTGACTCTTACTAAGTCGCCTTGTCGTCTTCGTCATGGACTGGCATCGGCTTGCCTGAAGAACTCATGGTTTCTATCAACTGAGGCTTACGAGTACAGCTAGTTAAATAACTCGTTAAGCTCGTTAAGCCCGTGGCACGATTGCCAAGGCCTCTTGGCTGCCGGCTTCCCTTCATCATCTGGTCAAGCAGCACTAGCTGCCGCAAGTTGATGTCCGGCTCGTTGCCCGTCCGAAAGGTGTCCGGGGGGGCCGGCTCTCATCTGCCCTGGAGAAGAGCAAAAACGAGCAGCAAGCTGAAAATCTTATTTGACTGACTGCGTCCAGACTGTGGTCCCGTCTCAAGCCACGGCTTTTGAGCCATCCCTACCGCCCTTGCTGGTTGTTAGTGTGGCCTGGGATAGGTTAGGTTTAACGTTGTACTACGGGCCGTTTAAAATCCATCGTGTAACGCAAAAGCTGTCGTCGGTTCGCGATGAGAGGTCGCCCTCTTAGCTGCTGGACCACTTTCCAAAGGTTACCTGCATACGCCCACAGCTGTACCATCCGCGATTGGCCTACAGGGTTGTGATGGAGGCAGGAAGCATGCACGACGATAACAGTCACACTGCCCAGTCACCATCAAGGGGCTACCAGCAGCAAACCAAGGGGTTCGTAGGTGAGGGCCGTGTCGGCGCTTGACAATCGTTATGCTTCACAGCCACATGCTGCGTGCCTATCTGGTGAAACGAGAATGTGAAGGAGAAGGGGTGAGGAGAAACCAGATGGCTTGCCGTCCATTATTCCTTCCAGCCATCGCCAGCACCCTTCATCCAGTTCAGACCGACCAGCTGTAGCTGATGCTTCTTGACAAACTTAACTGGATCGAATGAGCGTCTTTGTACAAATTCCTCGCCTCCAACGTCTTCCTTCGTGAGAACCAAGCCGTGGGGCTCGCGGAAGAGCAAGAACAGATACCGGTGTGGTTGAGAACTTTGCACGACATATCTCGCTTAGTAATTGGTACGACAATTCGATATTTTTAAAAATTTGCAGAGAAAAGCAGACAAGAGGATATGAATGGAGCCGGACCGTTAGTTCTCGGCTAAGAGGAGAGCTGGATGCCACATGATAGGGGCAGCACTCAAGAGACAAATTCACTCTCCTACATTACCACCCACCTCACGGAATCGGACGACGGAGTAATAGATAGGACACGGGCAGAGAAGCAAGGAGGGGGTGGGCTGCAGCATGATATGACAAAGGGCAGACCTAGTTTTGGAGAGGCAAAGAGGAGAAACGACTTACTCATCCTTGGGTCCCGGGGCGAGATACTCTGTGAGAGCCTGCTTCGTCTGAGCGACAACACCATCCGCCTCAGCCAATGGTTTCAATCCTGGCAGAACCCAATGGCGCCAAAAGGCAAACTTGGGGTCATCTGGCGTGGGTGCATCGGGATCGACAAGGAGCAGCATATAAGATGCGTCTCCCGATGAATCGCCAGCCTATATATATATATATATATATGATGAAAATCGTCAGGAACTCTCTAGCTCAACTCCATAGAACAACTTTAAAAACAAAATGGAGTAGATGCGATATGCCTCGCACGAAAGAAAAAAAAAAAACTAGTACTAACCTCGGCATCAAACGAGACAAAGGGAGCCAGCTTGACCTCGTTGACTCGAAAGAGATTACCCAATTCGACATCCCGCCCGCCGAATGAGATGGCCAGTCGAGTGGACGGCTTAAAGTCCCCGGGGATGAGTGCTTCTGCAGAACCAGGCACAAGGTTTGCCTCGACCAGGGAAGTTGACAGCGCTTGCGCAAGGTCGTCGAGGGGGGTTGTTGCCGCCGCCATGGCTTAAAGCAAGGTTCTGGGCTGGGCTTGTAAGCGAGAGATATTCCGAAATCCCCGGGAAGAAAGCTGGTCGCACAAGACAAATGACCTGGGAGGGGGGGGAGCAACTCAAAACTCTGGACGCCGGTCGAACCTGGTAGGAGACGATGAGAGGACGTGCGGCGTTGGATGATCAGGGAGGGTGAGGATGATTTGAGTTTTTGACTTTGCAACTTGCACCCCCGCGATATTAAAGTCGACGGGAAGACGATGGGTTTAGTCTTTTGAAGATCGGGCTTGGCGATATCTGACTGGTGGAATAATTGGCCTCTTGTCTTTTCACATATGCCGGACGCGAATACTAATATTCATACTGGTCTTTCACGGCGCACACAAAAAAGAAGAAAAAGGCCAATGGAAATTTACTACGAGTAGGAAGTGAAAAGGTATTGTTATTGGCTATTGCTGTAAAAGGCGAATGTTGATTGAGCTGCACATAAGAAACCCCGTGTCAAAAGAGAGGGGTTCCGTTTTTCAAAGGCTCGGATTCCAGATCACGACTACCGAATTACTATACTCCTCCCGAATTGGCAAATTGCAACAATTTTTTTTCTTCTATCTGAGTCAGATTAATAGTGTCACCTACCTGTCCCGGGTTCTGTTCTGTCTACCCTATTACACTCGAAGCACAAGGGAGGGGGTTTAAAGTTGACAGGCGTCGACTGGCTGGGGTGGGCTGGCCTATTAATAGAGCCTATTTCTTTGGCGGTTTTTTTTTTCACGTCCGATGGATGGGGATATGATATATAATATACAGGTGATAAACATGCATTGCAGTCGTCCTATCCGGATGGAGCTTACAGGCACACCACCCTGAAAGCGACAAGTCATGAAACATCACAGAAAAAAGAGGCAGGGGGGAAGCCGAGACCGGGCATGGCTGATTATATCAGATGTTGTCTCAGCTTGGAGAAAGGAAATATTACCGTCCAGTTATGAAAAGTAAAATCGTCCGTACCGGGTGCTATATCCACATGGGGAAATCTGGGGTTTAATTCTAACGTGCCAGAGATTCATCTATAAGGAAAAGAAGAAAAGGAGAGAGACCTTCAAAGTCAAAAGCTTTGCCCCATAACATTTGTCGGCAGTTTCGTCTTACAACCTGGTCAATTTGAGTTGCCTAATGCCAATCCATCTCCCATCGTCTTATTCTTGGTTGGTTGTGGGCCTACAACACGATGGGCATGCAGCGTAATACTGAGACCCATTGTGCCAGTATTCAAGGGTGCACAGTAGATATCATACCCAATTTTTCAATTAAAGTAATCCAGGAGATAATATGAACTGTAATAAGCAGGGGGGGATAGTGTACAATATATTTAAAATCTCGCATCTAGACCACGTTCCTTGCTATGCCTAAATACTTACACTAAATACACCAAAATATCGTTTTCAAATATGTGAAGTGCCGGAAATGTTTGCGGCCCATTGGCAACACACTCCATTACCTTTACAGCACGCAGGAAGGCAACCCAGACAAAGTAAATCTCAGCAGGTGATCCTAAGAAATCGGAGAGGAAATCCGAAATATGGTTGGCCAACTTGCGGACAGGCATATCGCCACCGCCGGGGTTCCAAAGTTCCTTCCGGGCGTCCATAATCTCCTGGAAGAACTTGAGCCATATCTCCTCGACGATGGCGGGGGTGTTGATAACCAGGTTCGACTTGCCCTTTGAAATGCTGTTTGTTGCAGCGGCATGGGAAAGCCAGAAGTCGATGGACGCTAGCTCCAAGATGCGATCTCGCTCCAGGACCTGAGATGCCGTGCTTGTTTCTGCAGTGGACATCCCAGCTTTGTGTACGGAGTTTAAAAGGATCAGTTGTGGCAGTCGTTCGTCGTCCCTGAATGCAGAGTGCTGAACGAGCGAGTGCGTTGCCAGGCCTCTGACCCCTCCCCGCGCATTTATCGCGTACGGAGGCCAAGTATGTTCGCCCTCTCTGAGATGAATCCACAAATCCCCCAGGATCACAGGGCCGGGAAACTCAGCATAAATGATCTCATTACTGTCGACGGCCGGCCGATTCGCCCTGGGCTGCGCCAACCGAGCCGCTTGTGACAAGCCAGCGAGACCGATATCTACCATCATGTCAAGGGCATCCATCCCTCTTTGCCACGGTGTCGCCCAGCACCCAAGTTCAATGTCAATCTGGGACGCCCAGTAAAAGGTTAGTTGTGGCGGGTCCGGACGGTGACGGAGCGTTTCTATCGAGGCATAGGCCCTTGTCTGTTTGTCCCGCCAATTGCGCTCCGAGTCGAAGCTATTTTCACGACGGAGGCTAGGGCTTCTAGAGTCACCGTTCCTATTCTCCTCGCGGAACCGGGCATAGAAACGGGATCGGGGGCTGAGGCTTCTAGAGTCACCGTTCCTATTTTCTCTGCGGAACTGGGGAGAGAAACGGCGGCGGGGGCTGGGGCTTCTAGAGTCACTATATCTATCCTCTCTGCGGAACCGGGGAAGAGAGACACGGCGGCGGATGCTGGGGCTTCTAGAGTCACTGCGTCTATTCCCTCTGCGAAACAGGGGAGGAGAGAAACGGCGGCGGAGGCGGCGGATGCTGGGGCTGCTAAAGTCACTGCTTCTATTCCCTCTGCGCAACGGGGAAGGAAGACGGCGTCGGGAGATGCTGGGGCTGCTAGAAGATCTGGAATCGCTGCTATACCGGGGAGGAGGAGGACGGCGGCGAGAGATACTAGGGCTTCTAGAGTCACCGTTCCTATTCTCTCTGCGGGACCGGGAAGAGGAACGGGTGCTGGGGCTGCTAGAATCATCGTGGCTATAGTCTTCAACTGTCGGGCGTCGATACGGGATACGAACCAGTGGTGGTCCCTCAGGCACCTTCGCTCTCGACCCGTCTGTCAAGGATTCTCCACGAATCCCATCTTCCACCCATGTCAGCGCAGGGCGCTCCTTTCCATTCCACGAATCTTTGGTTTGCATCGGTACAATTTGATTCGCTGGATTGATAGAGCCTCGAATAGGAAAGTATCCATCCCTCTCCATCGTATTTCGCGTCGTATTACCTTGTGGAAATAGGTCCAGAGATATATCTCTATTGGGTTCGGGCGATTCAGCGTGTGTAATGCTCTCTACCGATTCGGCTAGAATGGCTTCGGTCAGACTAGCTGAGCCCTCCAGAGTCCTAATTGCATGTTTTGTGACGCTGCCCATGTCTGGAGGGATCTGTTGGTCTGTCATTTCTTTGATACCAGGCTCCGGGGAAGGTGACTTGGAATGTGACACCGTTGCAGGTGGCGATGGGGGGTAGTCCCCTTCAGCAATCTTTAACATTGGTTTAAACAGAAATTAGCCATTTGAATCACTTCTGGTGTCCTTTTAGGAGACCGAAATATTTGAAGTCTATGCAAAATACCTTGAAGATAATTTTCAAATGGCCTTTACGCACAACCTTCAGCAAGGCTTTCCACGACTTGCGGGGCACCGCCTTATTCTCTGGGCCAAGGATGATGTAAGGAGCTGTTGCGATGCCATTACTTTCAAGAAACTGCACCAGATCCTATAATGCGACACTTTAGTCAGTACTGACCCCGGCTAGTGAAACACTGGGTAACTCACTTGCCATGTTGAACAGTTGTCCGCGGGCACGGTGTGCTCTTTCCCTTTAAGATCGATAAACTTGAGTTGTGATTCTCCTCCTTCTTTCCCCTTCCCCGTCTTGTCACTGTCCTAAATTCTCGATTTTGGATGGGATTCGTGTGGAATTCGTGCGCCATCTCATCATGGTGGCCGCATAAGAGCGCCTTTTCGGCTCATCAAATTGCTTCTTGGCAACAGATGCAATACCGATGAGTCGGCGGAGCCAAGATTTACTGATATCGCCCGTCTTAAGTCCTTTGATATGGGGTGTTGTCGAAAACGCGGAGAAATGAATCATGCTGCCGAGGATTGGGTGGCTACTGCTCTTGATGAAGCCAAACGGCCCGCTCATTTCGATATAGTCCTTGCTGGCTTCCTGAATATTCATGCCGATCATCAAACCAAAAGCGATGATATCCCGCAGGCTCACCTGCATAGGCACCACCGGGATATCGGCGGGGAGTCTATCCGCATCGCCGGCCATGAGGCCGACGCGGACGGCAGAGGGACAGACATGGCTGACTTGCCTTGCGAAAGCGACCCAACAAGCTTCTGAGTGGTTGTGTATTGCACTCTCCGTGTCTGTGTTTACAGAAGGGGGATCAAAAGGAGCTGGCAAGGTGGTTATTCGATGGGTGGGAAATTGTCGCGCATTGCCTGGCTTGTCCCAATATTCAGTGGGGATGAAGATGTTGGGGACGTCGAAGACGATGCGGAACCGAATCTGGCGCCAGAGAAAGACACGACGGCCAGCATAGCCAGGCATGGGCCCCCAAATCGACCTTTCGCATTTCTTCATATCATGTGCCGTAGCGGCATACTGCTGCGCGGCTTGGGCGAGTGCAACAACCAGGGCGAGGAGTGCAGCGGCCAAAGCCGCCCACGCCGCTATAGTCTCTGAATCCGCCATGATTTCAGGAGGTTGGAGGTAATGTTTTATAAAAGTATGGAATGCAATATTTCGAAGTTTTCAGAGGAAAAGGTTCAATCAAAAGGCACGATGAGAGTCAAGGCCAGCCTACATTTGAGGTCGTGTCGCGATACATCCCACAGCCTCGTGCGGCTGAAACTCCCTGCAGTGAAACCTACCCTGACTGTTAGGCAACCTAGAAGGCATATTACCTGTACCCAATCATTTTCACGTAAATAGTGCCCAGGCATACTTCGTCCAGGACTGATATGCAAGCCAATTCACAGTACCAATTCAAGGACATATTGAAATGTATATCTCATAGTAGAACAAGTGTTTGTTTGATGTGGCTACGCTTGCTTCAATCTTTCAACCCGGGGATCAACGCCATCCCTTTTAGCGAACTCGAGATGTTATGCTGTGGTCTGGGGAATCTTAGTCCCCCAGGTGGGGCCTATCTCGAGAGGGCGGTTGAGGATTTGAATCGGAGCATTACTTGTATTGGCGATATCGGATGTAGGAGTAGTGCTTTCTTTCTTACGCCCCTGCTCTCCTACATACGATGTCTGATTTAGAATTGTGGCGAAACGCGGATTAACGGGGCCCGCAGAGTGTTGTTGTCTTGAGGAGTTTGGAACAAGACATGCTGAGACGGTTGATTCGTCTGCCGGGTACTCCATTTCTGCTACGTATAAGATACATATGTACTGCTATCCCTATCCATGTGCAGGCATTTATATATACACTCCTGCCTCGTCACACAGTAGACATTGTTGTCATCATCATTTTCGTCGTTACTGAGTCGTCAGTCATGCAGGCTGGTCTAAGGGTGTGTGCCGGCCAGCAGCCGTGCGTCCTCACAAGTCCTCAAACTCAAACTTGACGAGCAGCGTACAGTCCGTCTCCTTGCCCTTGAGGTCCATCATCCTGATAAAGGTCCACCCGGGAGAGGCATACGAAAGCCTAACCGCCACGGCGGCGAACTTTGGGTTCCTCGCAAAGCTGTCGTCGCTCTTGATGAGCATGCGCAAAAAGACTAGCTCGTTGTCCTCATACTCCCACTCCAGCGTCTCGTCCCAGACCGGGTCCGTCGCGTGCGGGTTCTCGCCACGGTGGAGGAACCCCAGCTTGTGGTGCTTGTAGGGCGATGTCTTTCGCTTGGGGGGCTCCTTGTCGGCGTCGAGCGGGCTGTAGAGCGTACACGTCAGGTACGGCTTGATCGAGTCTCGCTCCCTGTCCTCGTGGAGAGGCACGTCGGTGGCTCCAGCGACGTGGACGCGCAACCTCCTCATCCGGCCCGTGCCAAGACGGCCGTCGCCGGCGGCGCGTAGAGCCGCGGGCTTGAGGACGTAGCCGGCAGAGCCGTTGAACAGCGCATCGTTGAGCTGGTTGCTGGTGCTGAAGGTCTGCCAGTTGAGGGCGCAGATCTGGGCGCCAATGCCCCAGAACTTGACGGGATGGAGGTTGGAGGAGGAGATGCGGGTGCCCTTGGGAAAGACACGCATGAGGTGGCGGGCGTTGTGATAGGCGATGGGGACGGCGTGCTGGGGGAGGTGCGAGGACAAGCCAGACTCGGACACGTTGATGAGGTGGTGATGCGGGCCGTTGACCATCTGCCCAGGATCATACCACGAGTTGTCCTTGGGTTTCACCGACTGAGCGTACACGCCCAGCTCGGCTAGCTCTGGGACGATGAGAGTGGAGGAGGATGACGCTGCCTGCTTCTTGTCCTTGTAGGCGCGGCGGGCCATCCTCTCGCCTTCGTCATCCGTCTGGTCGTCGCTGGAGTCGCCGCTGTCTGAGGCCTCTTCGGGAAGATGGAACTCGACAATGACGGAAATTTTGGGACCCAGATCGTCGAGCGTCACATGTTCACCGCTCCCTTGCTGCTCGCGGGTGCCTTTGCGTCGAACCGGCTCGCTTATGAGGCGGTGACCAAATACTTCCTTCATGATGTGGACGAGACGGAGCTGCCCGCGTGGGCCGCAGTGGTTTTCCAGCGACAGCAGGATGGGGGACGCGGGATCGCCAGCCTGGCCCGCGGTGAAGCTGCCGGCGGCCTGCTCGCGGTCGTAGACGTCGCGGATCGTCTCGCACACGGAGCGGAAGGGGATGTGCGACACCAGCGTGTAGCCGTGCGTCACCTTGGGCTCGTCCTCGTTCTCCGAGTCGTCCCACGCGTCAATCTCGACGCACCGCGAGCCCGTCGTCAGCGCCGTCTCGTACGCCGACACGGACGACTTGCCGTACAGCTGGTTGGCCAGCAGGTACGTGTTGTGGCTGGAGCTGACAAAGTACTCGGGCAGAGGGTATCGCGGGTCGAGCAGCCCCGGCGGCGCCTCGAAGCTGCGGCGGCCGAGCAGCTCCCGAAGTGCCGGCGGCGAGTCGCGGGAGTCGAGGCCGGCGTCGCGCTCCGAGAGGACATCGTTGGCGACGAGAAAAGAACGGAGGGCGTGGCTGACTCTCAGCTGGGCCTTGTTGTGGTCCGACTTGCGCGAGAGGTGGCCGGGCTCGGGGGCGATGAAGTCGCCTTTGTCGTCATCGTCATCGTAGTTTTGCTTGAACGGGTTGAGGCCTGCTAGGCGGGATGTGATATCGGCCATTTTTGCCCTTCTTTTTTTATTTATTTATTCCTTGCTTCACTGAGATGAGTGAGGTGGGGTTGTGAGAGGTGAGTGAGTATAAGCTGTAGCGTGATTATTCAAGCTTGATGCTCGACACAGCGCTGATTCACCGTATCAAGACTACGGCTCTGAGATTTGGTTGATCCAAGACGTGAAATGCTGTAGATGATCCTAAATTCGACGATTGTAATTGTGTAAATGAGACTGATGTGTTGTGTCATGAAGGTGTTGCGTTGGTGTTTGAGCTTTATCATGGCGGGGTAAATGCCATTAGCATAGCCACTCTCATCATCAGACCAGCAAATGCACTGCGCCGCCTAGTCATGGACCCCATTTCGACGCATGGACCGAGTTGGCATTTAAATAGAAATTTAAGAGTAGTGATTCGAAGGGGGTGGCTGAACATGTAAACTCTGATAGTGTAACAAGCACAAGATCTAAGATCAGATCGGGAATCTTTGTCGTAGGGTAACTCAAAACAAGACGGGACTAATAATAGCTTACACGACATGTGCGCGGAACAGATATACATATATACGCGTATAAATCAAATGGTATAACCAACTCTCAAGAACTCTACCAAGGCTAGAAGCTGTAAAACACCCAGTTGTCCTCCCCTATAATGCCCTTATAGCCGCCTTCTCCCATCGTGCAGATAAACGGCATGGTCAAATCCTTGTTGCCTAGACACACCCAATACCCTCCACCATCCCCAGAGCCCTTGAGCGGCCTCCAGTGTCGCTCATACTGACCGCGGTGAGCCTGCTCTACCGGGTCATTGTTCTGGAGGGCCCTATCTCTCTGGCTCCTATACAGCGAGCTCGGGATGCCGAGCGAAAAGCTCCGTCTTACGTCCGGCTCTAACCCCAAGACGAAGTCGTCCACGGGATGCAAGATCTCGTCGACCCTGTCGATGTTGTTGTCCCAGCTGGTGGAGCCGTTGATCGTCTTCGTCGGGTATATGTGTCCTTGGAGGGAGATGTGCACCTTTCTCAAGGCGGGAAACGTGGTCGGGATGGCGTCGAGGAATGCGCGGAAGCTGGCCATGTCTGAGAGCGGCGGCTTGACGACTTCGGGGTGGATGCTGGGGAACGGCGCAAAGTCCCACAGGAGCTCCACTGATGTGATGCTTGAGAGGCGCTGCGGGAGGAGGATGGAGGTGAGGCTGAGGATCATTTCCTTGCTGGCTGTGTGGATTGTGTTTGTGGAGTATAAGACATCAATGCCCTCGAGATATCTGACGCAGGAGTACAGTTAGTAAAAGGGAAGACTTGATATACTTGATATTAAAACACTTACGCTTTACGACAACTGCAAAGCCATCCCATCGCTCCTACTTGGCACTTTGTTGGGAACTCTCCAGGCCAGCAAAGACAGATCGCGTGCCATGGTGACTGGCCAAATCGACAGTAATCCTCCCCAGGTTGGACCTCGTCTTCGGGACGACAACGGGCTGGTCCGTTTCGATGGCAGACGGAGCTTCGCCAGGCCCATCTCTTTGGTTGTGAGTCGTCCAGCCTAAGATTTCTCTCATCGCATGTGGGAACACCGTGGACGTTGACATTGAAGTTTCCATGCGCTCGGAACCGGCCATTTTTCTTAATCATCTCTTCGGTCTGCGCTTCTGGAGGCTGCGGCGGGTGGTCGTAAATTAGGTCCATGTGAATCGTCTGGCCGCCAAAGGCTTCTATCAAAATCTTGCGCCGAATCTCCACGGGCAGCTTGGTGAAGAAGGAGCTGTTTGCGGTGGCGGCATTGGAGGCGGCGATGAGGCTCTCGTGGGACGGGGCGGGCGTGAGCCGTCCTCTGCGCTGAGAGGGCAGCGTTGGGTGAGGCGGGATCGGAGGAGCTTCTATTATCAGCCTTGTGGACAGCGAGACGGTGCCTCGTTGCTTCTTGCTGCTTCTTGCGACGCGTCGGCGCCGGAACCAGCTGATGATGGCGTTTGGCATCGTCGACGATGTTCCGGGGCTATTTTGCCGCGGGTTTTGGTTGTGATGCAGAGCACAACTCAGCTCAGCCTATGGTGAAGCATCGGAACAGTTTGGGTTCGCAGGAAGCACCACCACGAGCTGGCCATGAGGAAATTAGGCATTAGGCTCCCCTGCATCATGCGCAGTTCATGCGATTCGCTTCCGATTAGCCGTCACATGTTTGTTGATTTTGCCCGTTCAGCTCGGGAGCAGGGATTGGGTTTATGCGCAGGATCACATGTATACATGTAGCTAGGCGCCTTGGCAAGATCCGGAAGCTGGACGGGAATGTTGCTTCAAAAAGACTGGTTTGTTTTTACGGCTTCTCTTCTCTCTCTTTGATCTTTTGCATTTTTGATCAAATTGATAACCCTTGTCTAAGGTAGTCACTGACAGCTGTTTGACTGGGGGTTTGCTGCTGTGTTGTTTGGGTACCAACAGCATTGGCTTGGACTTACAGCCCAAAAATACCCAAACAGAAACCCACCAGCGGCAAGCTAAAAATTAAAAAAATCCCTGCCTCGAAACTAAGGCGCCAAAGCGACCCACTCTGGACGACCCGCTACCTATTTTAGAAAATTTTCAATGTTTGAATCTTTTTTTCCTCTTTTCTCTTCTTTTTCTTCTTCATGAACAACGCAAATAACAACGTTCGGGTTCTTCCAACACTTACAAAAGTACCTAGTACGAGGTGCGCTTTCGAGCGTCTGCTCACGACTGCTGGGGACCTGAGGAACGAAAACGGAGAAGAAAGCGAGCAATCTTGGGTGCGGTGCTCCCCTACAAAAATGGAGAGGACCGCAATGATTGAGCGTACATGCATGTGTCGTATTACCGCTGGTGATTTCTGATGTTGTAGATGTAAGCTGATGCTTTGTGCAGACCGACGGGAGTTGAACCTGTTGATTCTCATGGGGTGATACTGTCGCGGCTTGCGGCACGTCTTGTCGAATTGATAAGCGTCGAGTCGTATGTCTGATGGCATTCTGCATGTCATATATATCGTTGACAGACTTCATGAATGAGTAGCCATACTGCTCCCTCTCCGTACGAGTCTGCATGCCCTCTTTGCACAAGTGTCAAAGTTCATGTCTCTACGACGAAATTTTCACCAAGTGGACAGAATTGCATCAAATTCATTGAATCATTCGTTGTTTTGTACGATATATACTAACTATATTACGCAACATGAAACCCATAACCATCGTAATCATACCATGCCTTACTGGTCCGTGAGGACCCAGGCGAGAGGTGTTTATATACCCAATAATAACGGAATTCGTTTCTCGAGAGAACCGGCTCCCGCCTTCATTATATCAATTCGTTTCAGGAGAAGTGAAGAAGAAGTGCATCCATGTTGCATATCATTTGCTGACTGGCGATGCACTCACTGACATTCTGGAGATGGTATGTTAGCAATCTTTGGGTTAGGATGTCGAGCTGGGGGGGAGGGGACATACATTTGTGATTCGGACATCTAGTACATGCCCTCAACGGCGGCGCGAGCCAGGTTCTGGATGAGCTCAAGATCGCGTTGGGCCTTCCAGCAGGGCTGGCCGACGCTGTTGCACATTCTCTTCTCGGGAGACTCGACCTCGACGCTTCGCTTCTCATCGCCCTCGATGGTGGCTGCGAGAACGGCCTCAGCGACACGCTTGGCCTTCTGGCAGTCTCCGCCGTTCTGGAAGCACCCGCGCTTCTCCTCGGAGATCTCGTCGGTTCGCTTGGGGACCCAGCAAGGCTCGCCAGGGCGGTAGCACCATCGCTTGTCCTCCTGGACTTCGACTTCGCGCTTCTCCTCCTGGGTTTCGGCATCGCTCCTGGGTACCCAGCAAGACATTCCGATGCGGTAGCACCATCGCTTCTCCTCGACCTGGATTTCGCGCTTCTCCTCCTGGATTTCGGTCTCGCCTCGCTTGGGAATCCAGCAACCCTCTCCGATGCGGTAGCACCATCGCTTCTCGTCATTGACGACGGCATCTCTCTTGGGGATCCAGCAAGGCATTCCGACGCGGTAGCACCACCGCCTGTCCAGCTGGTCTGCGGCGTCGCGCTTGTAAGGCACAGTCTCGGTTCCGTTCTCGCCGTAGGGGCGGAAGGCACTGGGGTCCTCAGAGGCGTAGAGGATCATGGTGGAGAGCTGGTCAAGGCCATTGATGGCGGACAGAGCAATCTCGTTGGGGATTCCGTGCTCGTCGCGGGACTCGAGACCGCCAACGAATTTCATAGAGTCGGCGAAAGCCGCGGCCGCACGAGTGACCTTCCAGCAGGGCTGGCCGGGCTGGGAGCAGAAAGGCTCGGGGTTGGGGACAGCGATAGCTGCAGAAGCGAGGACGCCAACGGTGGCGAGGAACTTCATGTTGGGTAATAGATGATGGGAGCCGAAGAGAATAATAAAGTGGTGATTTGAAGACAAGAGACTGGCCCGCAGATGGAGAAGAAGGGGAAAGCAATGAAGGAGATGAGAACATTGGAAGGATATATATGTTCAACATCTCATCTGGAGGAGTTACTTTCACTCTCCGCATTTTCCTGATGAAAAGCTCAGATCACCGGAGTTGCAGGTGAAAAGTCCACTTTCCGTTATTGACTGGTGTTATTGATGGTGTTTGTCAATAAGCCTCTCCGCCGCTTTGCCGGGTGGACCGCTTTCTTCAAGGCACGCGGGCTTGCCATGTCCGGTATTCAGTTGGACTTGACGATGTTGGTGGAAAAAGACGCTGTTAGTCAGTCCATGAAGAAAGTTTGTTCAACAGAGGCTTCGTTGTTGTTGAATGTTGAGGCTGTAGTCGGTGTGGTTGGGTCAGGGCAACGATGAACCATGTGAAGTTGGGTGATTGCAATTTGCAGTTTAATATTACAACAATCTTCATCTTTTTGCCAAGAACATGCCATGAAATCTTCAGTCCATTCTTCGTGCAACAGACAACGCCAGGTGCATCGGATCAAAGATCATCACCAGGTACCAGCGCAGCCTCAGCTGCCCCATTGAGGCTGAGACGGCCGTGCCTGAAAACCCACAAAAACACAAGACGAAACAAGTGAATAGATTTATTATGTACCTGAATACGAGTACGCTTCTTGTATAAGGTATGCAGAGAAACTCAATTGCCAGCAAACATATTGCGAGTAAAAGGTGAGGCCAGCGCTTATTGAGGGCTGGCCTATTGACACCCGAATCGGGTAATTGACTTGGGTCGAGACAACGCGCCACCAATTGACCGCTCTTGCTGCACGCAAAAATGACTGTTTCTAGAACACATATGTATACAGTAAGTACTGGATGTACAGTAAAAGATTGAATGGGTGTCGGAGGTTGGTTAAATAGCGATTATAATAAGAATGCATTTTGAGCGGGCTTGTGGTTTGACACCTTCGTCAATCAAGCGCCGTAATTAGTACAGTATTTATACATAAGGCTAACTAAAATATTCTACTGTAAACGAGCGTTGTGAAGAGTACCTTTATATATAATCTTTGTAAGTGAGCGGTGAATCGTGTCTCTAGGCCTGTCCAACAGCTGAGCGACTCGAACGGCCCACTCCCACTTTCACAAGCTCTCGACACTGTAGGCCTGTTGTTGCGACCATAAGAGTTGGCTCGTAACAAATCTTCATTGAGAATAAGTAATATTACTCAGCAAAACTCGATCAACTCAATAAGATTCCCTTCAGGATCAGAAATATAGGCAAACGTAGTGCTAACGTTGTTTATCTCGTCTGCCCCCTCTGCAATCGGCTGTACCACCCGGACACCATCTTCTTGCAACCTCCACAGGGTGTCCTTAAGATTTGGAACTCGAAATGCAAAATGAAAAAGGCCTTGAACGGCCGATGCAGTCAACGACGATGTGTTCAATCGAGGGCTGTGTGTCGAAGACGAGAGCTGTATAAGTTCGACGATTGCGCTTGTTCTTGGGTTCTGTAATTTGACGGACTGAATTGTTTGTGCTTGAGATGAGGAAGGTGTTATAGCTGGAGTTCCTGCTGGTATTTCCATTGGACCGACGAATTGAAGGAGGTTGCTGAAGCCCAAGGTTTGGTTGTACCAATTGCGTTGTAAAGCAAGATTTGAAACAGAAATTCCAACATGGTTGAGATAGAAAGTTGGAATTGACGGTGAAAACTCGAATGCACAGGCCGAAGAAAGAAGAAAAACAAAGCATAAATGTTGTAAAGTCTTCATGTTGGTGATTTTGTTTTTATAAAAAGAAGTCAAGTAAAGATTGCGTAGCGCAAATATAGTCAATAATAGTATGGATAATATATATTATAACAATGCCTTGAATATGAGCATCGAAGTAGGTTTGGCAAAGATTGATGCTATATGAATACTATATATACGTAATCATAGATAACTATTTCAAGTTTCCCCCTTTTATTTGCAAGGGATACCATTCGGGTGTTCTCTAAGAATATCCGCTAATCAATACGGAGTCGACAAATAATCCATCATCTCTCTTCAGTACTTTTACTGAAACAAATCCTAACTCCGTTCCTTTACAAATAAACAAGATCTACCGGTACTACTATAGATCCTATCTCCGTCATGTTAAGGATGCCGGTATTTGGTTCTGGCCTAAAAAGGTAAAATTGGTCATCAGGGTCCAAAATTTCAAGAGCCAAAAAAGGCAAAATTGGTCATCCGGACCCAAAACCTCAAAAGCCGATAAGCTGATCCTCAAACAGCCACTCCGCCGGAAAAAGACTGAAATCACTGGTCATGTCAAAGTCCGCTTCACCAGGGCTGCCAAAAAGTGAGTCGTTCAATGAGGATAAACTTCTTCCGCATTCTTTATGGAGTGTCCCATGCTCAGTCTTCTCCGGAGCGCCGATGGCCTTGGCCTTGCGTTGCGAGCGCAAGATTGTGATGAAATCCGGCTCGGGCGTCGAATCGCTCGGTGGATTGACTGCCCAAGCTTTAAGCGTTAGTTTTCCAACTGCAGCTTGGAACGCTGACTTGGCGTCGAGAAACTCAGGGTGATTCGAATAGACGTCTGCCGTTTTGCTCCAGATGCTATTGCGCTCCATGGGTGAAAAAATCCCGACCTTTGCCAGGCTGGTCAGGACACACATTAGCGCATCCCAGAGGAAGACTGCCTTGATTTTCCATCGAAACCTCCTTAATTGCGGGTTACCAGATAGCGTGCAGTCGGTATCAAGAATCTTCAGAGCTAGATCACAGAGCTGTTTCCTTTCGGGATCGCCAATGGTGTTATTCATTAGTGGGGAGATTCGGTTGCGTAGCCGTACTGCATTGGTGGCAGATCTCACGCTTCCGAGTACCAGAAAGTGCAGTGGGTTGATGATATCACAGTACCGGAGATATTTGGTCTCAATAGTGCTTTCGACCTCGTTGATAAGCGTCTCAAGTTCTCCACTGGCCTTGAGTTGAATCGTACCGCCGGCATCCTTTGTTTCGACCCCGGTTCGTGTGTACAAATTGGACAGCTCTGCTTTCGTGAGACAGTAAATCATCTCAGAAGCACCATTCAGCTCTTCTGGCTGGTGCGTCATACCAGGGTAGATCTGCGCGTCGTTGATGTTGAGTGGTGGTTTGGTGTCCCAGCTGTTGGGTGAGATGGAAATGCCAGTGCCCGAGACTTGACCAGCGTATCCGTCGAGAGGCAGAAGCTGCCAGAACAGCCGCCGCCGCATTTGAACATCAAAGGGGGATAAGCCGAGACCTTCTCCATCTCGATGGAGTCCCATGCGTTGTGCGATGCGGACTGCGATACCAGTCAACATCCAGAATAGGTGAGGATCGGTCTGTGTGCGGATCGAGATGAGAAAGAGCACATATGCCTGAATGATTGGCATTTCTGTTGTCTTAAGCCACGATGCATTGACAAGAGCTTGCCGAACAGCGTGTTGGTACTTTGACATTAATTCAATGCGTGGCTGCTTAAATTCGAGCATACAATCCTCATCCGACATGGAGAATACGGCAAAGTGGTAAATGGCAAACAGCAAGCACTCATCTGCTCTTGATGCTGTGGATGGCTTCTGAGAGACTGTCTCGAACATTTTCGCCGTTGTTGGAATGTGTAGGATTTTGCAAATAGGCTCGACATTTTCAACGTGCGCCATCCAAAGCTTCATTGCGTCTTTGTGGCTGGGATGATAGTGGACGAGCGTCTGCGAGCCTCCAAGCAACGCACCGCTTATTGGATCGGTTGTGAACAAATTTGTGCCCACTGGTTGAACAAATTGATCTTCATCTTCATCCTCTGATACTTCATGTATGTTGACTGGTCCAGTGTTGAGCCAGAGACTGCTGCCAATGTACCGGGATTTGCCGTCACCAGAGAGCAATTCACCAGTCCTCCCCACTGGGGAGACTGGGTCTTGCGTGACCTCGTGCGTCTGTTTGTCATCAGATGTAGAGAGCAGGCCTCTCTCTTGTAAGATGCGCTCATATCGCACCAACCGCTCGTGCACGTCCTCGGTTCGCTTCCGCTTCCGCTTTCGCGGGGGGTTCGGTGCCTGATAGACGCACTCAAATTCGCCTTTGCCGCAGCTTGAGCATGATGGGAGTATCTTGTCACATTTGACCTTTCTGCGCACACACTGTTGACAGGTGTAGGGCATTGTGCGGGTGGCTTCTAAGTCGCCATCCCCATTCCCATGCTCAACCGGGGTTTTGTTGGGCGTGGGAGCAATTGGTACAGGTCGAGTACGCATCGGAACACTTGACGGCCGTTGGACACGGTTCAGGCTTATGGAAATCCTTTGTCCCCTTCGGTTCAAATGAAAGAAGTAACGGAAACAGTTTGAAGTTCGATGAATGTGGTACGGATGTAGTTACGGAAGACGGAACGGGCCCGAACTAGATCCATGGCTCCGATTGGCTGGTGGCGTCCAATTCCATCTAAGCAGTTCTATACAGAGTAAAACGTTATATAAGAGCACTCGAAATGCCAGTAGATATTAGAGAGTTAATTATTCTACTATAATTTATCTGGGAAGAACTTCCACTACAATGGACCAAAAACCGTTAGACTTGGAGGCAGCAAAGTCACCTGCTGAAAGCATCAATGATCCCAATCTCGTCACCTGGGATGGACCACAAGACCCGGAAAACCCAAAGAACTGGCCAAACAAGATCAAATGGCGCTACACGGTGGCCGTGTCTCTCTTTACATTCATTTCCCCTGTTTCATCGGCCATGATTGCGCCAGCTCTATCCAAACTGGGCGAAGATCTCAACATGAACAGCAACCTAGAGATTGAGTTGGCACTTTCCATCTTCATCCTGGCGTACGCCGTTGGTCCATTGTTCTTCGGGCCTGCATCTGAGCTTTACGGCCGTGTACGTCTGCTACAGTTGAGCAATATATGGTATCTGGCATGGAATCTAGGTTGTGGGTTTGCACAGAACCCGGCCGAGTTATTTGTCTTTCGCTTTCTGGCTGGGATCGGCGGAAGCGCTCCTCTTGCCCTGGGAGGAGGTGCTATTAGTGACACATGGAGCGCTGATGAACGTGGAAAGGCCATGGGAATCTACACTCTTGCACCGCTGCTGGGTCCGGTTGTTGGACCGATTGCTGGGGGCTTCATTGCCGAGTATAGTACATGGCGTTGGGTATTCTGGTCATCTAGCGCTGCAGCGGTGTTTATTCAGGCCGTAGGTTTACTATGGCTCCGCGAGTCACACCCAGGCACACTGTTAAGAAGGAAGCGAGATTGTCTTGTGAAAACTACAGGAAACCACAAACTGCATACTGGAAATGCCGAGCCGGAAACTCTTATCAGCAAACTTGGTGGAGCTGTGGAACGACCAATTCGCATGTTCACGACGCAGCCCATCATTACGGTCATTGCGATTTACATGGCGTATCTCTTTGGGACGCTATATCTGATGCTCGCCACCTTTCCAAGCATTTGGACGGAATGGTATGGCGAGAGTGTGAGTATAGGCGGACTGAACTATCTCTCTATCGCCATCGGCTCTTTCACAGGTCTTATTCTCAACTTCTTCTTCATCGACCGAATTTATCGCAACCTCAAGACGAAGAACAACGGTAACGGTCGGCCCGAATTCCGAATGCCAGCTATGTTTATCGGATCGATTATGGTCTCCGTCGGCCTATTCTGGTATGGCTGGAGCGTACAGGCGCGGCTACACTGGATCATGCCCAACATTGGTGTTGCCATCTGCTCGGCAGGGACCTTGGGATGTTTACAGGGCATGCAGACTTACACCGTGGACAGCTATCCGACTTACGCGGCCAGTGCCATGGCTGCATGTGCACTTCTCCGCAGCCTGGCTGGCTTTGGATTCCCTCTTTTCGCTCCGTATCTCTACAGAGACCTGGGTTATGGCTGGGGGACTAGCATTCTCGCCTTTATCAGCATTGGCGTGGGTATTCCGGCGCCCTTTATCTTTTGGGGTTTCGGAGAAAAGTTACGGGCTAGGTCGAGATATGCTGCAAACTGAGAGTTGAAAAAGCGACACAGACTCTAATTTTTGTCACTGCGCACCGCTATGTGGGATTGGGAGGTTGCCCTGTCGCCGCGGCTGTAATAGGACTCCTGTAGTTGGACAAAAGGTTTCGCAGCGTGATTGCTAGGTGTGTGATAATTTGGGTGCTATGATAGAACGGTATTTCCATTGGCTCATAACGCATACATATAGATAATAATATACATACACTTACTTCATTCGTTTACCAATTGAAGCATGCTGGCTATGAATGGCGTCGGACCCGAATTTCACAGGGTGATAAAGAACAGAGCTGGCGGATCTACAGCTAGAGTATGAGCTGGAACACACTCGATGCGCGATAGACTACATGTATTCACCGCCTTTACAAGTTTGCGCAGGTTGCTCTGAGTTGGTGTGACACAAACGGGAGACATGCTTCCCCCTGATACAGTAAGCCACCCCCGACGTCCCGACGTGGAGGCGGAGATCTTGGGCATTGGGGGCACATAGCAGCTGTCATTTCTATTATGTAGCACCCGACGTAATTCCGCTTTAGAGACAGTTCTGAGACAGTCTCGGGATGACATATTAATCACTAGACGCTGGAAAAAAGAGTAGACTGGACCAATCGAAAATCTGGGGCATATGGGGAACCAGGGCGGCTGTAGCCGTTGACTGTCTTAAATTTTTATTGCGGTCAATTTGCGAGTGGACAGTTTATAGATAACTGGAGGGAGAATGAGGTTGCGAATTTTGTTACGTTGGTTGTTCGCTCTTGATGTAGATAGAAATACAGTTTAATGACTTGGTGCGTCTTTATGGAGGATCTTAGTAATTCGATATAGTAGGACCAGGATAAGTGTATATGCTCTGTGAAGTCTCTTTCTGATTAGACCAAGGTATTGGAGCTGTGGCTATTACAGTGCAAACCTCGCCCCATCGTGGTGTATCCTTTCGGGACAGCCGTCGCAAACTCCGTTCGTTTTTGGATCAAGTAGCGTCATTCGTCACATAAGAGAACACAATGGCACCATTGCATAACCGAAAACCTCGGCACCGGGACAATTAGTCACAGTAGAAAGACGTAGTATAGCACTCGCGAGTAATGGCAGTGATGAACTGCACTGATCAAGAGATACTAGCTAAGTAAGTCACTCGTTGTTCATGAGTAATATTTAAGTAAATCATATTATCCCACCAGGCGTAATGGTCAGGGATATAGCCACATGTCTAAGACATACTTCATATTGACTCTAACTCATAAGTCAAAGCAAGGGTTCTGCCGAAGCTCTTGGGTACATTTGGACATAATATGTAAGACAAATTACGTGGTATGAATAAGTTACACAGCTATGTAGTCATATATCTAAGATGTATGGAGCGCTTCATAGATTTCTAAGTCAAGGCAAGGGTCCTGTCAAAGCTCTTGGTTACATCTAGACATGACTTGTAAGACAAGTGACGTGAGAAGGCTAAGGTTCTATGTACAAGCATATAACTATATAAATGGCATTCTGCTCGAGGAAAAGGTAATCACCAAGTCCAGAAACAAGAACCAGCATATATCACCTCCAGACAACAGGAAACGCACCTGGTAGAGACAGCTGCTTATAACATACCACGTTCGTTTTCTAGTTCTTTCCCAGTTTAACTCTCTGGTTGTATCTCACATTTAAATTAGGAGTTCATCGATCGCCATCATGCATTACTGGCCTGTTATTTTCTCAGTCATCGGGATGGCTTCCGTCTCGCAAGCCGCCGAATGTTACGCACAGAGTGGCGGCAGTTTCTGTATCAACTACGATACATTGCGGTCTCACGCATCCGACTGGTGCCGGCAGAACTATAACACGCTTAACGGTAACTGGAACACATTGACTGACGGTGGAGGCAACGTTGCCCGTATTGGAAAAATTGGAAATTTTGAGAATGCACAAGTTTGTATGGATGCATACAATAATATTTTGGGTTGCCATGGACATAAAAATGGAGGGTCATGGACTGCTAATGGAGTATCTCTAAATATCAACTTTTGTGCGTGGTAGCTTGAAGGCTGGGATTTACTGCAAGGCCTTGTCATGGGTTTTTCCCCCCAGTTTGTGGCAAGGGTTTTTTCCCATTTCGTTATGCAAATGCAGAGGCTAATCGCATCATAATGATACAATGAGTTTAATGAGAAGTATTCTATTTTAATCGTATTGCGCTTGTAGATACAAGACAGTAAAGAGCAATCGAAATTGGATGACACAAGTAGAACTCTGTTCATATTTGGTCAAGTGAATTGTTTAACCCCAGCACAAGCTACTTTGAGTCATCCCTACTGTTGCATCTGCCTCTCGGCCATTAGCCGAAGCACTTCTCTAGGGAATCTCTTGCGCTGATCCTCGCCTGAAAGAATGATTTGGAATAGTCCATCTAGTTTGTTTGCTTCTTCATCAAGGAGATTCTGGCCTTCTGGAGAGTAATCAACTATCCTGGCAGCATCGAAGTCCAATATATAAACATTCCTACTATATTGCTGTATAAAGATGTTGCGGAAGCCAATCTCGGGGTGTATCCTAAAGTTCTCGAGGTCATTGTGACATACGTTACTCGCATGGATTGTTTTCAGAACGAGGTGCGTCTCCGCGGCGATGGCAGGCGTGACATCCTTTGGCATTAGAGGCTCAAGATTGGGAATGTATTCGAATAACAGCGCGTGGAAAAGGTTCTCTTTTCCATTACCCGGCTCAACCCATCCACGCTCTTCCATGGCTGCCTGAAGAAGCTCCACTGGTACTTCGACACTACCAAAGCACTGGGGATATCTGGTCTTGATGGACTTTCTGCAGGGGCGAGCCAATATTACTTCACAAGATGCAGCAGCTGTCAACAGCGGATCGGTGTAAGACATGGCCAAAAGGCTATTGGCGGTTCTTTCTTGCTGGTACGAGACATCGGGGGGTGATGCTTGGTGTATTTTCAAGACGCACAACGCATTCCTTCGTAACTCAGAGTGCCTGGCTTTGATCACCTCCACAAGGAATGTTGAGTTACGTCCGCCGTTTATTAGTCGCAAAGGGCGGTACGCAATGAATGGAGAGAGGTCAAACATCGCTAAAAGCAGACGCCATATGATCAAAGAACTGGAAAAATTCAGGTTGTTAAAGAGTGTGAAACCAATTGTTGACTTCCTTGATAATGTAAACTACAGATTTAGAGAATTCATTCGGGTTGTCATTCCGTGGATTAGGCACCGAGAGTAAGACATTTCCCCGCTCCCATTACTCATCCCCTAGGGAGAAGACCACGTTCCAATTTCTGGCCGACAGAATCCAGAATCGAGATATTTCGGGATAATGGTAGGCTGCGTTTAATGGTTTAATGATGTAGAGAGCGTCTCGACATCTACACAGCACAAGCCACACCGCGCCATACATGGCCCGCGTGGGATGGCTTTCGTTATAATGGAAATGCGACACCAATTTCGACTTCTACTGTATTGGCGGTTAAAAATAGAATAAGACGCATAAGGATATCATCATAGAATGTTCAAGCGCGGAGCTAGAATTACGAAGCCGGTAGCGAATGGTTGATCGATAGACCTTAATACATATGCAAATATGCTATGGAAACATAACAACCCCTGCAGATCAAGAGTATCCAACTACTAGCTAGCCACCAAGCAACGCCAATAAACTTGGAAGTTTCGTAGGATAAATAGATCGGCGGTCGTGACGCTGCTTTACTAGTTGCTGAGCGGAGTTGCTTCTAACAACGGCATTCCCGATGACAAGCTCGGTATTATGAGAGCCATTGATCGTGCCGAAAACTATGGGTAGAATAATAAATTAAAATTGAACCCAATTGAATAGTCTTGCGTACGGAGAGCTACATGCTCGAATAACGCATCAACACGTATTATGAGGACAGTGATCTTCAAGAATTACGTAGAAGACATACGAGAGCTACCAGCTTTTGCGACGATCAATTCATGCACACCCGTGCTAAGTTGCTTAATTCACCAATCACTAGAGTTCATCAATCTGGGATTCATTTATCCAGCACAGGTAACGCCACACCAAAATTGCCCCCTTCGGAACAAGGTGCATCCCAGGAATGACACTTATTGGCTAGCTACAACTGGGCAGTGATGGAAAAGTACCAGAAGCATAACAGTTGACGTCTGCCGCGTGTGTTGTGTGAATGCCGTCGTGCCGGATGACGCTACCCTGTAAAAAGCCGACGTCCCGGTACCAGCAAGCACTTTTAGTGGTTGGACATTGACGCATGGCTCTATGCGCTTGCTTTCATGATTATAGATTCGCGCAGTAGAATGTGGTTTTATACTAAGTGTTTGCTTGTTTGCACATCTCGGCGATGTGGTAACTGCTCAGTGGGATTGAGCATGACTTAAACAAAGGAAAGTGTATATTCATTCAAGATTGCATCTCCATCATAGCTATCTGGATGGAGTATGAAGCATGTAACACTCATTTGATATCGACCTCAAAATGCTCAGCCACAGGATCGACTCGTCATTTCTCTATTCCGGAATGAGGTGTACCTGCATTGCTGGTGGTTTCATGCTACTCCCGCTGCTCCCGCTTACACTCGAGCGGCATCAAGTAATAAAAGTAATGAAGGTGACTCAATTGGAAAAGGATCTACAATAGATTAATTAAGTTCTAAGCCATGCACTCCGTTGAGCAAATGTGTTTCCTGTTTCTGTTCTTGCCCCTTGCCCCTTGCCCATGGTGCAACAGCCAACGGCTGTAGCTAAGCTTCCTTGAAACGGCATCTACCCCGTGGGTGTTGTAAAAGCTTGTTTCTTCATTAAAGAGCTAGATGAAATATGATGGCTTATTGGCCAATGTACGTTGGCCGGCATGAATGGTCCGTTCAGCTCATCTGGGGTCGGGCTGTCGGGATATGCGCCCCTGAGGAATTGCCACGGGAGACTCCAGGCCAAATGGTGAACCAATTGGGATGTAAGATTGATGAGAGTGTACATTTATGCGAGTTTAATTCCGAACGATAACCCAGCTCTATTGTAAGATACGTAGACTGATGCGTAGAGTTGTTCAACGTTTGTTATTACCTTTGTTCAATTGAGGTAGTGATGTCGAAAAGTGTCACTTCAAACAAGTCTCCAAATATGTTCATTCATGAAGTCTTTCTAGAAACACAAACGAGAAGTGGCAAATGAACAAAGTTTAATTGAAAGCTATCTATAAATAAGTCACTCGTTGAAGAGCGGCGGAACAAAGCGGTTGTTGGTGTTTAGATCGTCACTCGCCACCTACCAACCATCTCCATATGCTCCTAGCGTCATTGTACAGTCGCAACCCTTGATTGATGATTGAGACATGATGGCATATTGTTCCGAGGCCCGCTGACATCTAGATCCTGGTTCAACAATTCAGGCACAACAGGATAGCTATCATCTTGATTTGACAGATGGCGAAGCAGGATGCAACCTCTGACAACAAAGAATTCTTTCTAGCCTTTGTAGGCAACTAAGGTGATACTAGGAACATGAAATTGGATATAAATACCCCTTCATCACCTGCCTCTAAGTTGTTCAGATTCACAAAGCAAATCAGACAACAAACACTACAATCCACTCGCTTCAACATTTACACATTCAGCTTCAGCTTTTTTAATACTTAATACGACTCGTTCAAAATGAAGTCTTTTTTTGTTGCTACTCTGTTGGTTGCTGGCGTTCTTGCGGCCCCTTCATCTGACGTGAAGCGTCAAACCTCACCTTGTCCTGCCGGTCTCGAAGCTACCCCCCAGTGTTGCGCCACTGATGTGCTTGGCGTTGCCGACTTGGATTGTGCCAATCGTAAGTAATTGCTCAAGGTACATAAGATGCTTTGATCAAAGATGCTGACTGTTCGCGACTTAGCACCCAACCCTTTCACTGATGCCGCGTCTTTCACGGCTGTGTGCGCCGCTATAGGCCAACGGGCTCGTTGCTGTGCTATCCCAGTAGTAAGTTGGCCCACGTATATCTAAAACGGCCAAATCGACAAATTAAATACTTACAACTTTCTCACAGGCTGGCCAAGATTTGCTCTGCACGAGCCCAGTATAATCTCGTCATTAGCGACAGGAGTTTCCATCTATGGCGAAAACAACGCCGTTTGTCGGACTAGGAACATGGAAATTATATGGGAACATGTAGCTATTGTATACAGACCAATGACTTAATAAATGCAATTGTCCACGAATTTATGATGCTCATACTGCGCTTTTTGCAATCTTATTGTAGCCTGGCCATATTTGATCAAGATATGTAGATATGTAGCAGTGTTTGGAGACAAAAGACTGACTTAATGTATATTCACCAAAGTTGTCTTGCGCATGACTTGTACAGTATTTCATGTCCTGAAGACCATATTGAACGTACATTTAGGTGTTCTGTATGTGTTTGTTCCGTGCGTTAAAGCAAAAGCAAAGCGATGCCTGTTTCTTTGTACCCAATGACTATTTATATCACGCAAATCCAGTGTGCTATTATTGTTAATGAACTTATTAGCATTTCAAGAGTGAATTTTGGTTTGACAGGATGGTAAAATGGGAAAACCTTTCATGTTCAATGGATGAAACGACTTTTTCTTGGGATGCCGATGTATAAATTACCCCCGTGTACCTAGCATTACTTTTGAATTGTGTATTCCAATTGACTAATCCAACAATTATTCGATTCATAGTATCTTGTATCATTGCAACATATCGCTACTCCTTTTGCCAACGATGGCCAATTCTGACATGATCACCTTTGGTTGGGAACTCGAGCTGATTGTACACTTACAGGAAGGAGAATCTGATTCGGCCGGACTGCAAACCGTTAGGTTACGTGAGTTGGCATTGAGTCTTAAACGCCAAGCCCCAGGTTTACCCATAGCCGCTGAATGCGCTCATCACGAAACTTCAACCTGTTGCATCTGTAAGGATGCTCCTCCTGAATTTTGCAGCTTCGCTTTGCGAGTCTTTACTCCGGCTACGCCTCTATTCACGCCCGAGAGCAACTCAGAGAATCTATATTTCCACGTCAAACGAGAAATGCTCAGTGTTCCAGAAAACAAATTCGGTAAGAGGATAGCTCATGACTTTGAGATTACTTCACCCATTCTAGACAATGAAGAGTTCAAATCTGGATTTTCGAAGACATGGCAAATCCTCTCAGCTCTCCGAAATTCCGATCTCAGCATTTCAACACATAAAAGGTGCGGCCTTCACATTCATGTAGGTGTCAAAACCGGTATGACTTTGAGTATCGCCAAGAAAGCAGTGACGTTGGTCATGCTACTCGAGCAACCCCTTTTTGCAGCATTTTCTTCCACTGCTCGTGCCGAAGATCCTACCTGGTTTAACTATATAGGCGATAAGTCCTGCTTTGCAATCGATGCCGAAGACGCCGTTAGACATTGCTATTCGATCACAAAAGATAATACAGCTGCAGACTTACTCAAACACTTGCCGATCCTTCCATCGCAAATAAAACCGGCCGTGTGGAACCACTACAGCGCTTATAAGTGGTACCTTACTTTGGACTATATCTGGAAGATACCAAATACATGGAGGCTCTTTACCGGACTACTTACAGATATAGGCCGAAAGACTAGCTTGGCGATATGCACCCGCACAAAAGATGGAAAGTCTGTAGGCGAGTGGGATGTTTATGGCTGTGATGGTACGGACAGACTGGAAAGATCACAAACAACAATCGAATTTAGGTACCCACCAATGAGTTTCGACACCGAGTTTATCAAGAACTGGGTCGAGATCTCGTGCCGAATTGTAGCGATTGCTACACACGACACTCCGTTTTTTAGCCAAGTGGCTGCTGGTTTACTTCATGAATTGCAAAGGGATGAGAAACTGTCTGACTTGCCCAAATGGGCACGACTTCTTATTGCTCTGGGATTGGGTCATCAGATTAATTTTTGGACGCAGCAGTTGCGGCGTTTTGAAGCTGGTGAGACCATCCGCTTTCTTGATTCAGACGGTTTCGTGCTGCCGAGTATTAGCAGGAAATGAGGGTTTGTTGCTTTTGACCATGTTTGTATTGTGGGCGCTTGTGTTTTCTGTGGAAACTTATGGATTCGGGTGTTATACAAAATACGAAATAAAGGTGTATGAGTTTAGTTATTAACTGTTGTCTTAAAGTTCTTATCACATCTCCTTTTTTCTCTCGCGCTCAATCTGTGTATGTGTGTAGTTGTATAATTATAGTAATTAACATTATCAAATCATGATCGAGTACATTATCATTGGTCATCTCAAGTCATCACGCAATACTTGACTTTGGTAGGATTCACGATTTTATATTGGAAGGAGTCACATTTCTTGAACCCAAGCCGGGTGCTCAATGCCGCGATGCCGCAATATCCGGCCATTTCTAAGCTTTCAACTGGATGTTAATGTCGCGTTCTGAGTCTTTTACAACTGGTTGCATAATATGAGTCTTTCTTTTGAATCATTTGACGCGCCATAAAACGACTTCCTACTCTTTTGAGAAGTATTAGAGCTTGTGTCGATCACTCTAATGCAGCACAGCCTCCTCCTTCCCCCGCTTTTCCTGCTTTACAGTTTAACGGCTAATCTAGATTGTTTCGGACTTACGGAGTTGAATTCATATATATATCTAATCTAAGTCGACGCAATAACGTTACTTTCACAGCAATATTACTCAATGGCTCTTTTGGTTGTATAAGAGAAACTCGACATGACCCCTCAGCCCCCCCAACCACCACCAGACTTCACTTTGGATGCTGCGTCCATAGTTGAACAAGCTGAACTTCTGATAGCGACATCGGCAAAAGTTTGGGATGCTGTAGCTCAAATATCCCCCGAGGAGGCGACATTTGACGGCGCCATTCTCCCTTTGATACGCAATGAAAATGATCGGATGAGTATCTCCCCTCAGCTTGGGTTCCTTCATAACGTGTCTCCTTTAAAAGAGCTTCGCGATGCTTCCAAAGAGGCCAGAAAAATCTTGAATCGTGATAGCATCGGAAGATATTCTCGAGCCGATATCTTTAAAGTTGTTGATGCTGTCTGGCAGAGAAACGAGTCTCTTGACCCGGAGTCGCTTCTCTATGTGGAGAAGCTGAGAAGTCAATTCATCAAAACGGGACAGGGGCTCACAGATGAGGCTGTGAAAGCTAAAGTGAAGGAGAGTCTTGTTAGGATCGACGAGCTCGAGATGGAGCACCTCCGAAATCTCGACTCGGACGTCGCCGGTTTATGGCTGACACTAGACGAACTGCAAGGTGTCCCGCAGTCTCACCTGGACCGATGGAAGAAAGATGGTGATAAGAGGTGGATTGATCACAAGATCCCCAATTATACGGCCGTGATGCAACATGCCTTGCGAGATGAGACGAGGCAAAAGGTGTGGTTAGACATGGAAAATCGGGCAAAAGAGCTCAATGGAGCTAACCTCAAAGAGCTCCTTGTGCTTAGAGATGAAGTTGCTCGTGCACTCGGCTACAAGCATCACGCTGAATTGCGAGAGAGTGACAGAATCTTAAAAACTGATGATGCCGTCCACTTCCTGAACCGCATCCGCAATGTTCTACAAGAACTAGGTCTGCGTGAACTTGAGACTCTAAAGGCCTTGAAGGCCGAAAAGGTCCAACAAGAGCAATCCCAAGATGGGCCTTTATCTGGCCAATTCTTTGCATGGGATAGACCATTTTTCACACGCCTAGCAGAGGATAAATCCCTGCAAGTGGACCAAAACGAGGTTGCTGAATACTTTCCCCTTGACAGATGCGTTCCGAGAATGATGCATATTTTGGGTGCCATATTCGGGGTGAAGTTTATCAAGTACCCGCGTGATGCCCCCCAGATTACTACGTGGTATGAGGGAGTAGATGCCTACTCTGTATGGGACGACATAGCGGAAGGGGGCGATTTTCTCGGATACTTCTATATGGATGTATTCCCACGAGATAACAAATACGGCCACAAAGGGATGTTCAAAATGAGGCCAGTGAGTCTACAATCATTGGTCCAAATATGGGAAAACGGTTACTAAACGACGATTCTTGTATCAGGGATATGAACGGCAGGACGGGTCGCGAACCTATCCTTGCTCTGCCTTTATGACAAATTACTCACCTCCCAGCGCCACCCGTCCAAGCCTCTTAAAGATTAATGAGGTTGTATCGTGTTTCCATGAACTTGGTCACACGATCCATAACCTTACTTCAAAGACCAAATATGCGCGATTCCATGGATCATCAGTCCCACGCGACTTTGTCGAGGTTCCAAGTATTATGCTGGAATACATATTCTGGAATCCGCACATCGTGCGCGCGATATCCGGTCACTACCTGACGGAAGAGGATTCAGAAAATGAGAAGAAACTGCCGGAAGACGTGATTGAGAGGCTGATTGCTGATCAGTTTGCGCATACGGGGCTTGCGCAACTTTCGACTCTGCATTTTAGCACATTTGACCTCCTCATTCACACGCCTCCTGATCACCAGACGATTTGCGACATGAATCTTGCGGCAGAGTTCAACAAGCTGCGTAGAGAGATATGCTTGGTTAGTGGCCCTGAGGATATTGGCTACGCACCCGACTTTGTTCACGGCTTCTGTCGCTTTCGTTTCCCAATTGGATACAATACAAGTTATTATACCTATTTGTCGTGAGTAATTCTCGTTTCCATAATACTGGAATGACACTAACATAAGTGCAGATCTCGATCACTCAGCTACGACATCTTCAAGACAAAGTTTGAGCCACTATTGCCTTCTGGGGCTCTAAACACCACAAAGACTAATGTGGACGATATTATATCTCATGAGCTCCGTCAGGAGTTCCGACGATATAGAGAGATTATCTTGGTGCCAGGAAGCAATGTGGTTTCTTATATGGAATTGCTCAAGGAATTTCTGGGTAGGGATGCTAATCACGAGGCTTGGATCGAGATGCTGCAAGAGCAGATTGCGAGCCATGCTACTCAGGTGTGAATGAGATGGAACTTACTCCTTGGTTTTGATGAGGGGGACTACATAGGAGCGTCAAAAGTTACTTTCTGGTGAAATGCAATCCAGTTTATATTATTGCTATATGCTATTATTACTTATGTGCTCGTGTATTGGCAACATATACGCTATGTATCAATCCCAGACTTTGCTTTTAATCTATCCAGTTTCTTTTAAATAAGCGCACCACTGGTCTTCCTGTCATCTCAAAATGTATAGAGCATTGTCTCACTCACTTGGCTCGGCAGTCCCAGCATCCTCTCCCTGCCAGCCCTCGACCGTATTCTTCTTCATTCTGACAAATAGAAGAGTCAAGACTATGGCTGCTCCTGCAAATCCTATTCCCAAGTAAGCTGCGCCTCGATAACCGCCCAGTAGATCTGTTCCATCCTTGTTTATGTAAATCTCGACCGTTCCGGCAAATCCCAAGCCCGTGCTTAGTCCGTATGTAAAGAGAGTCCCTATCAGGGACCCCGCTGTTCCCTGGTGCTTTCTCGTCACGATGCTACTGGCGATGATTTGGCCAGCGGCAAAGACCATGTCTCCTGTACATCCTGCCAAGATCATGGCGGGGAATACCATCGCCCAGAATGTTTGATGAATCGGCATCGTTGCAATAAGGATATTCATCACCACTGCACCCAAAGCGCCGATACAGACCACCATTTCTGCTGGCAGTTTGCGTACGACCCATGCTGCAAAGAAGGCAGCGCCCGTACCGCTGACAGCCATTGGCAAGAATGAACATCCCAGCAAGGCAGGATCCCAATTCCGCAAATTCGCCAAAAAGACGGTGACGTACCAGATGTATATACCCAGGCTCATGAAGACAAAGAAACACACGACAATCAGTGCACCGAAGGATGGTACTTTCCAGATCTCAAATGGGATGATTGGACTGACTGCCCACCTCGATTCCCAGATTAAAAACACTGCAAAGTGACCAATAGCGACAATGAGGAGTATGTATTCATAGGGATCCTGCCAGCCGACTATGGGAGCTTGGCTATAAGTATGTGCATTAGTATTGAACATAAACTGGTATGGTTGGGGGTGTCACTTACTTCCATACAAAATTAAACAGCACCAGTCCGGCGACACCGAGATATGAGCCTGTCCAATCAATTTTTCCCTCGGGATCTAAGCGCTCGTCATCTGGTACAGCAATGATTGCTGCTCCATAAACTACAGCTCCTAGAACAGCTCTACAATCCAAGGTTAGCTCTATCATTCGCTTTTTGGAGTAGTATAGAGGAGGTCATACAAGAAGAAGAACAGCCATGTCCAGTCTGTCCACTGAAGGAAGAAGCCGTTGAACACACATCCACCAGCGCCGCCAACTGGTCCCATAGAAGCAAAGAGTGCTAGTGCCAAGTTTCGTTGTCTGCCAGGAGGGAATGTGATTGTTAAAAGAGCTACAGCGTTGGGAACGAGGAGACCACCTCCTATCCCCGCAAGAGCTCTCATGATGCTGATGCCGACGATGTTGGTTCCATATGCCGTAGCCAATGTCCAAAATATCCAAATGGATGCTCCAAGCGTCAACATTTTCTTATGACCAAAGACAGTACCCAGCCGACCGCTGATTAGGACGAATGAGCCTTGGGTAAGAGGATATGCTGCCGCGATCCACGTGGATTGGAGGTCTGATGCTCCAACCGCGTGTCCAACCGTGAATGCCCCTATGATACCAGCACCATACGCAAACATTTGTACCGCTTGCGTGAGGACAATTAGTATCATGAAAGTGTATGCTCGCTTCTTCGATATAGTTGTTGCTCGCGAAACGGTAGCGCGGAGGGCCGGTAATTGTCCACTCTCCAGGTCATTGTTTCCCGGCGTCTGAGATTTTGGTTCTCTAAAGGTATTTGCATCTTGACTTGGGAGGGCGCATTTCTTTCCAGCGTTGGCATTGTTGTTGGCTGTCTCTTCTGTCAATGATGAAGAGTCGTACGGCGTAGTTTCACAGGACTCTTTCTGCGAGGAGGAGGTCACGTTGGGAAGATTCGAAGCCATTATGGCTGTGTGTACTTAACAAGTTAATAATTCACGTGAGGCTCTATTCCATGATTTACTTCGTACAGCATGCGGTTATAACATCTCCAGACATCTACAAGAGTCAATCGGCTACTAGTATAAGCGATTCGAGGTATCACATAAGCGGCAGAGACAAGATTCACATTTGTAATCGAGGTTTCTTGTTGCGTGTCTTGAAATAACTTGGCATGAAGTAACAATTTCATTCATGTTGGCTTCATCTGATAGGGAGGCTGGACCACATATTGAGACGAGGCAAAAGATGCGTTATGTTATTTCCTATTAAGGAAAGCCAACTCTTCCTTGCAACAGTTAGCGTGGTCATTGTTAGTGGAGCGTCTCATTCGCTCCATACGAACATTCCGATATCCCGTTCCTGTGGGGCGGCACGGGAAGTTTTCAAGCGTGAACAATTAATTTCTTGCTTCATAGGGTGCCATCCTTGATTCAAGCAGTATCCTTAGAGGGGTGAATGGCCAGCTATACCGGCGGCTCGGCAGCTTTCCGTGAAGATGGCGCCATCTCGGGAGCTGTAAGGCTAGTCAGCTGAGAGAAAGCTCCTAGGGGTGTTAGTCCTTGTGCCATTAATAAACATCCAGCGTAACTTACTACCTATTAAGGTATCTACCTGCACATAAAGGGAAACATGTCGAGAAAAGTCCCGGCGAGCATTCTTTATTACATGCCTAGTTGCTAGCTTTTGACCTTCGTCAAATTTTTCTCGAGTGCCGGATCTGCCACGATTCCTCTACGGTTGGGGTTGTGTGGCTGCTAGGCATTTTAGCTACAGTGGGTCAGCAAAAGTGAAGACGAGCCCCACTAAACACCAAATTCCCAAGTATCACGACATTATTAAAAACGCGAATTGCGCAGCCAAATTAAATCCAATTTAAAAATAAACTAGACCATTAGATTCGCTAGAACGTAAGGATTCTATCCATATATATCAATATTTAGTATACCAGCCGCGTGCTGCAATAACGGCTTCGAGTCTGCGGGGCATCGACTCGACGAGGGTTTTCAAGAGGTCGTCATTAAATTCCTCCCAGACTTCCACAGCGGCCTCGCAGAGCCGTTGAATTGATGTCAAATTCTTCGGCATTAACGATAGTTCCGGATACTTCTTGCATATCCTTTCCTTGAGCAGTTTCCATAGATTTTCAATAGGGTTTAGGTCGGGCGAATAAGGCGGCCAGTCGACGATTATGACGCCGTTCTCTTCCGCC